GGTTAGTCAGCCTATTGATTTTATTTACTTAGAATTAACCATGATAGTTTGGGAGTGGATCGCGTGGAGGTCAACCTGATATGACGCTACTAGCAATGGGGTCACAATTGCCCATTTATACTAACAGAAGCTCCCTTCATCCCCAGTTACCTATCAGTTAATAGTATGCATATAGGTAGGTAGCTATACCTAAAACTAATAAATTCGTAGATCAAAATCAGCAATTACTATTAATTGCGTACGTAACTATCTATTAGTGCAAAATTAACGTGTTTACCTTTATGAATATTAAACACATTTTGAAATGAAAATGTAACCTTAATGCTTGTCGGCAGTGTATTATAGATACATATTTACTGATTAATATACAGAATATTCATTTTTTTATTATGTAAATTGTTTTTGGGGTTAGTCAACAAACAACTCAACTCCATTATATCTAACATAATTATCACAAAGCTAAAATATTCTTCTTAAGGAGACAAGTTTTTCTTTATTTTTTTGTGATGGAACCTTAGGTCTAGGCTTTATTACTAATATTCCATCAGTTCCAGATTACCACGAAAGAAATAAATAAATTTATAGTCATTCAGTAGCACTCATGTATAAAAGTACAATTATCTATAAATATAAATAAAATTTGAGTATCTGTTTGTAATATTGAAATAACCTTTTTGTATTGTTTTTTCCACTTTCGTGCATATTAATATAAATACGGTACATACACCAAAATAACGTTTTTTATAATTTTTGTCTTTCTGTTTGTTTATTCCGGCTAATCTCTGAAGAGGCTGAATCGATTTTGACAGGACTTTTATTGGCAGGTAGCTGATGTAATAAGGAGTAACTTAGGCTACTTTTATTTTAGCAAAATAAAGTTAAATTCCACGCGGATGAAGTCGCGGGTACAGCTAGTACTAGATTAAATTACAATACTACATTATTAACTGACAACATGACCCAAACTCAGCATATGTTGTCATAGCATCCTTATTATTATATATGTATAAATAAACACCTAAAATAATTCGTGTAAAATATTATTGTAGTTTCTACCTACAAACACATATTTAGTTCTGGAATTACGGAAACAAAATATATTAAGTTGTGAAAAGTTACTGTCATAGTGATGATATTCTGTGTAGGCCATAAGCGACCAATGGATGGCCGATGACCATGACCTTGACAGAAAAAATAAAATAATTATATTAATAAAAAAAATATAACAACAAACCATGAATTCTTTCTCACTATATGCTGACCTCCAGGTGGATACTTTCATGATTAATATATAACTTTGAAGAACGGCTAATTTCTGATAATTTCACCAGATTGACTTTATTTTGTCCTCGTTCCTTCAACCTATCAGCGGTAGACTTTGTATAAAGTCATATCTGCCTGTGTACCTGCACAGGCAGATAGATAGATCTGCATCACTTATCCATTTCGTCCAGCATCGTAAAGCAGTGTTGTAAGCTGTGTTTCGGTTGGTGAGATATGGCAGTGAAATTACAGGGTGCAGCTTAACACCTTAGTCCCCGGAATGGCAACTTATGAGTAAATTTAAGTATGTATATACGATATCTATGGCGCTTTATAGAATGCCATTTACTACCAGGTAGACTATCAGATAGTTTACCATACCAGTTACATAAAAAACTACATAAACATCTTCATTCCAACATTGTACACTAAAAACGTAATTTCAGGTTAAATAAAATCTAATGTAAAGCCTGGAGTATAATATTTGCGGTCGAATCTCGGTTAACTACGTAATAGCCGTTATTACACTCAGTTGCTACATTCAAACCCAGACCGCCTTCACCACTTACAATGTTATTTTACGTCTCTAACACATTTTTCCATATTCTGTTCTCCATTTTCCGTTAAATCTAATTTCATATTAAATATTAACTATACAATATACAAATATATTTTAAAAAGTAATTATGTTATATTTACAGTATTTAACTAGTAATAGGGGACTTTTGTACAATAAACTTAAATTAGTGCAGTCATATTGATGAAGATAAAAATGCAACTTTTAGTATCTTTGATCAATAGATTCAGTAGACATTATTTCTACTACTAATGGTACACTTTGTACAAAGTCGCATGATGATGTGATGTTCTTGTTTATATGCGACGGTTACCACTTACTATCACCTGTCAACAGATTTACCATTCCATTCACTTAAAACATAGTCATAGAAATAAGTAAGGTTTGTGCTACTTATTTTGTTTTAAGTAACATAAATATAGCATAAATCTATTTAACCCTTTGTTTTTTAACCCCGTGATTTTATTTAACCCTTTTCGATTTCTTTTTGGTAATGAATGACCTAAACAACCGAGTGCCAAGGTCAATTGCAATTGAATACTTCACTAAAATAAATCAAGGTTTAATTTATATTATTTCAAATCTAAAATTGATAGTGCAGACTTTACTGTTAACAAGCGTAAATTCTATTTTTATGCGCTCACTTGAAGTTATACAAAAAAGATTTCGTATTACATACAAAAAATCAGACGAATTGAGAAGGCCCCAATGTGTCATGAAGTAACGCTTGAACTAACTTCAGTTAAAGATCAGAAAACAGTACTCAATAAAATCGGATCTAGTTTGTTTAACAGAGACAGGTATACAGGTCGTGTTCAATAGTACATTACTACAAATGTTTAATCCATACTTAATTACATAATAAGCTTGCTGATGAGTTCAAGTTTGTCAATTAGATAATACAAATAGACATATTTTTAATACTTTTGAATTCGAGCAAAACTGTTCTAAATTTGATGTTAGAACAGTATTTATCATAGTGAACCTCATAACGCACCCTATGAGTGCCTCTAATCCTTTCTCGATGGGTTATGCTAAAAACAAAAACATTTAGTTATGGTTATTAAAGTTCAATAACTAAAAAAACTTATTTATCTAAGATACTTCTTTAAAATCACTGATATATGAGACAGGTCATCGTTTTAGCTTAGGGAGATGTCTGAGCTTTACAATATATAAAATGACCACATATGCAAAAACAATCTATGCCTTACATACTATTACTCTATCTAATTACCTAATGACCTAATTATATTTATCAAAAGGAAATAATGCCGTGCTAGTATTGTTAGCGGTAAGCACCCATATCATAGGTAAAACCACGACTTATAACTCTACAACAGCAATAAAACTGCTCTTGCAATCATCGTTTCGCGCTGCGGTATATTTAACGATCGCCGGCAATTGAGTGGCTTCAAAAACAAAATAACATTACGATGTATCTAGAATTTTATTATATTGCTAATGTAACAATCTATTATGAGCATTTTTTGTATCACTTTTTAGCTATTAGATGTTTATAGCGCCACGTGCTATACGAAATATACGTATTAGCTATTTATTCTATTTAGATTACTTAATAACTGCTACGACTTTAACTGTATTTAATTTAATTTTTATATTTCAATGTTAACTTGTTTTATTTGTAATACATATTTTTTAGAGACAATCTCTAAATCTCTACTCTGTGCGACTATTTGATCCTCAGGTTAGACCATAGACTAATATTTATTCTCTTTTATGTTAATGCATTTGTAAAAAATATTTATTATAATATAAATACATTTCTAACACCTCCCCCTCCCCCCCCCCCCCCCCAAAGTAGTTTCACATGAAAATTGTTTTGTTTTAAAAAGGAGTGTATGTAATTAATTGCTTAACTGAACTGTAACCAATACAGTAACATTTGATTCTTTGCTAATTGATACTCGTAAAATATAAAATTATTGTAACTACTGGCATTACTAAATTTGCACTTTGTTATGGATTTGTATTTTAAAGAGTGATTTTCCTTGAATTTTCCACAGACCAGTTTCGTATGTTGAAATGGGGACAAACGAAACGCATAAGTAATGTACATAGAGATATGATTGTATAAATTATAGAAACCATTTATTAAAAACATATAACATCACATAAAAAAAAAAAAAAATTGTTGTCCTTATTTAATAGTATTTAATACTTAAATATTGTAAAACGGAATACTGTATTTTATGTGTACGTTAAAATTCTATCTAAAATAATATATAAGCATGTACCTATTGTAAGTAGATAAGAGAGAACTACGTGCCTGCAGACAAACCCCGACAGGAGTTTTGCAGGATAGTAGAATAATAATATGTAAAAATTGAAAAATAAAGCTTTTTATCTATCTATCTATCTATATAATTTATGTATTTACACTACTTGTGCGCCTTTATCTCGTTTTATATTTTTTTATATTTGTATTATTGAGTAGCATGACTATTATTTAGATTCAGATATATAAATTGCGTTAGTATCTATATAACTATAGTAGTCCGTGATTCGTCCTCCACTTTACTGTGTATATAGCGGACAGCGGAAAGTTAAAAATATATAAATAAATATAGGCCCATATGTAATCATTAATAAATACCTATATTGGGTGATAATTACTATTGAGCGGAGAATAGCTATTTAGCTAAAAATGAAATAATTCATACTAAATAATTATCAAATACAATTAGGGGAATTATCCTGATTTAACCTTAATTTGTTTCCCTTCATTGTACTTTTTATTTTCCTTTCCATGATACTAGTTCAAGCGGTGAAAAATGACGTGTCAGGTGTAAATGAAATCTCTACCCGAAATATATGTGAAAAACAAGTTTTTATAATATATATCCTTCCTATATTAACTCTGATACCCACTTATAATTAACAGCACATACAGCTATAACGCGCATGTTATGCTACTACGGCTGCGCGCTGTGCGAATTTATAAATCTGTGGCGCTTTTCATTTGCGCGGGACAAATAAAATATGCTTTAGACTATTTCCTCTGCAGACATTTTATTTTGTGAATGCAAATTATTTATACGTATATATATACTAATTGGTTACGTACTATCTTAAGTAAAGTAGGTATGTACTAAAATATTGGAATGATTAGCTAACAAAATATTTTTTATTGTTACAGATGGGCTGCAAATTAACATTTGTGGACGATCTCCTGAACAGATCCTTTTACAAATTGGGTTTAATAGTTGGTAGACAACCTGGATACTTCATAATAATCCCAGTTCTATTAACGTTACTTATGATCACTGGATATCAACGGATATACTATGAAATGGACCCCGAATACTTGTTTTCTCCAGTCAGAGGACAGGGTAAACTTGAGAGGAGTATCGTTGAAGAATTCTTCAAAGTTAATTATAGCCACAGATTTAATATTGGACGAATTACTAGACCAGGTAAGCTATACTTGCTTTATATTTATCCTTTAAAGAGAAGGCAAAGGTGCCCATACAGCCAGAACCAATAGGTATCGATATTGACAACATGTAAATAAAGTAAAGTAATATATCTTGCACAACTGTTCTTAAATAAATAATTACAGTAATATGTCATAGCAATATTTATATACTCATAGAATTTTTTATTTTTGTAGATTACGACACTGCTATAATCACTTTTAGCGGAGCATAATTGCATGCAAAATGATCTTTAAAACTTTCTTCAAATATAATTCGAATTATTTCTAAACAGGACGATTTGGTCGAGTAATCATAGTTTCCAAAGACAACGACACCAACATGCTACGTACGGAAGTATGGAAAGAGCTGAGACAGTTGGACGAATTGGTACAAAATGTAACAGTCACTCTACCCGATGGAGAAACCTTCACTTACAGAGAAGAATGCGCCAAGTGGGAAGGACAATGTTTCGTCAATGACATATTAAATCTGGACAAAATTATCGGCGAGGTATGTTCTAGTTACTATATTTTGTATGCATTAAAGTAGCTTATAAACCACTTCATTTAAAAGCAGTACTTTTTAATGGAATAAATTTAATGTCAAAAGGCTGACGACCTATCTGATGGTAAGTAATAAACATCAGTCACTAAGGGGAAGGGGATTATTAGGTAGAGATAGATGGGGTCTAGTGTCCATTTTGCTAGTAACTAATGTACCATGTAAGGTCAACCTCCTTACGGTTCCCCCTGGAAACCATCGTAGTTAACTCCTGGCTATGGGCAAACTGACCTGACCTCATTCTCATCTTATTATCTCCGCCAGCGTAAACCGTTAGCACAGGCGGGTGCACCATTCAATTATCATCCATGAATAAATAACCATCGTTCACTTCTATACATCAACAGCACTACGGTACATCACGTTATTGTGTGCCCGTGATGCTGTTTATGCGTTGCTATTCGGGAGGACTAAAGTGTCGTGCCTACATGGTGTTGTCTCTAAAACAAACCTAGGCAATGGACATAAGTAAATGAACATCTTAATTACTCAGTCTTAAGCTACAACAGTTGTCAACAGGAAGTCGGTCCTTCAACATTCATTGCCATGGTATACACCGTTATAATTCGTAATCGAAACCGCGTATTGTTTTAGTCAAGGCAAGTAATCGATTCCCAACGATCACTGAATCACAGCAATATAATCGGCGACGCCTCACAACAATAGATAGTTTATTACTCACAATAGCTCTTACCTGCTGCAAACCACAATTGATCTACGCATTCAACAATGACATCAATGCTAAATGTTACCCACACGTGTCAATTTGGATTTACTGATGTACAATCATAGTTATTATACCTACTTAAATAATACCCCAATAAAACATCGATCGTATGCGATAGTGCACTTTGATTTATTGTACCAATTATTTGTAATAAATAATTAAGGTATTAACATGTATAGTGGAATTTAAGTTTCTTTTTAAACCTAGTACAGGTTTAAAATAGAAATTGAAGAAATATCCTAAATTTTTTCCGCCTGTTTGTAAAACCGAATTGTGGAAAAGTACGAAACAAATAAACTGCTTTCTAATAAATTTATTAGGTTTTTGTTTGTTCAAATTCCCTTTTAATACGCATTGTACTCTGCAATGATTGACTGATACAATAAAAAACTGTTAATAGTATCCATATATCGCGTTTTTGTATTAATATAGTTTGTCCGTAACTTTCTCTTACTTACTTTTAAACACCAATAATATTATGACAAATTTAACATTTATATCTGTGGCCGTTAAACCCTGCTCTTCATGCAGTAATTTATTATTAGATTATAATACATTATGTTAGAATAAGATTTTTATACACTTTCTAAACGTTGACAATAAAAATTCTCGTTTACAGGTGGAGCGGGGCGAGTTGAATTTAACATTTCCAATAATGTTTAATCCTGTCACGTGGGAAGCTCATGCTTTCCCTGTATACTTCGGCGGTTCCAAAGTGGTGGACGACACGATAGTATGGGTGCCCGCTGTCCAACTGGTTTGGTTTGTTAGAACAGACAACGATGTGCAAAAACAAAGGTAAATACCAACTTTTGTTGTGTAGCAGGTAATTTATTTATTCATAGAGAACGTGAAGTTGGACAAATTATATTACGTTTTATAAAAACTACAGTAGAAATTTCTAACTATTCTTCTCGTCTGAATTTGCATTACCATTATAAATATTAACGTTCGAAAATTCTTATTAATATAAGAATTAAATTGTTAGTTAATTTTGAGTGAACCTTTAAGTAGCTTTTAATTTCTTATAGTAAGCACCAACAAAAAATAATCTTACATACTGCATCAAATTTGACTTTATTTCTATGAACTAAAATGTACCTACTACACTCTAGTTTTAATATTTAAAAACAGATAAAATAACATGAGACATTTAAAAAAATAAAATATAAAGTACTAATGTGGCAAATACCTGAATATATTATGTGGTTTTTGCACTACTACTTACACATTGCCTATTTGAATATAAGAAACTATTATATGTATATAATACGCGCAATTATTTAGATAATTAAGGATATCCGTAATACAAAAAACACCTTTATGCATATGTTTAGTAAATGGCCATTCAAAATACCACCATGGTATTAAAAAAAAATAAGCAGGAAAATATGAACAGTTTGTTTAATGCTATTCCAAACTACTTTTTACTTGTTTCAAATAATGCTATAATTTTCTAAACAAACGACTGTATAGCTTAGATAATGGACACCGATCTTGACACGCTTTAGGAAATCGTTTCGAATACTAAACACTGCGTAATATTCGACAAGAATACGAATAGAAAGGTTAATGGTGGCATACAAATGTAGGTCAAGTTTTAATAATGTTCTGAACTTCCTGGAGAGTAGAGTACTTACATAGTTTATATGTAGTATTTGAACTATTCTACATTGTAAATCTACGGAATAAATTATTTAAAGAGAATAAATATGTACCTACATTGCGAATTTCGCAAATAAATAGGATAAGGAAGAAGCAGATGATGATGAAATAATGACGAATTTATACAGTTCCATTATTTTCCAAGTGTCTCTGTCTGTCCATGAATAGCCGACTTTCAAGCAAATTTGCTGGTTGGAAAATGAGAGATTGCGGTGAAATTACTAGTTACGGAATTACGGAAGCATCATTTTAATTCACAGAAAAGGTAACGCGTGAGAAGTGTTACGGGCGTGACAATTCTGTGATATCTTTGGTTCTATATGACGGATATACCACTTCTCATCAGATGCGATGACAGCGAAATTTCCATTCGTGGATAAAAAAAAATTAGACATATTTTTTATCCTCTTTAAAAACTTATTGGTCCCGTACAAATGACATGAATGAAGTAATTGTAATAAATATTTTCATCGCACTTTCAAAAGGAAGTTAATTTAATGATACGGAATCATCTAAATCTATCTAAAATTATACTAATTTTTATGAATCTTTAAATCGATAAGCTTAAGAATTTTTACTGATATCACATTCGTAGGTATACCAGCGATATCTAAAATGCCATGACAAAACTATATAGGATATAATTTTTAATAACCCTGAACAATTTCCAAACTAAGAGAGTTTTATGGGTTCTAGACAACTGATATAAATTCTTGATACAAATAAAAACGTTTACCTAAGAAATATTTTCGTATTTATATTTTAGGTTCTTATTCTATTAATTTCATGTACTTAGTACTATAGCAGCATAATATAGAGCAATATTTTATCCGATTACAGAGGTGCAGCATGGGAAGACGCATTCTTAGATGCAGTTGGAGTAGCAGAAGACACAGGACGATTTAAGCATATATCAGTTTCCCGCTTCGCATCCAGAACCCTTGACCACGAATTAGAGAAGAATACCAGAACAGTCATACCATTCTTCAGCTCGACCTTCATTCTGATGGGCATCTTCTCAATAGTCACTTGTATGATGGCAGATTGGGTCCGATCAAAGCCTTGGTTAGGCTTGCTGGGTAACATATCTGCTGTTATGGCGACAGCGTCCGCTTTCGGTTGCGCTATCTATTTAGGCATTTCATTTATCGGCATTAACTTGGCTGCGCCTTTTTTGATGATCGGTAAGTGATAATTATATACATATTTATATTTTTTAATACATGTCTTTCTATAGATGTCTTTTCTTTACATCGTACAAAATTAATTCACTTGCCCTATCTTCGCTTAGAACTTTTAAACTAGGTACACAACGGATTTTAATGCAGTTAGCAATCGATTGAGTTATTCAAGGGAAAAGTTTATATGTATAATATATGTATACCCGCGTGAAACCGGGGCAAAAAATCCGTCATAAATTTAGGCATATACATACATTTCGAGGTGGATGTAAACAATCAATTATTATATCACACATAACACGAACAAAGTCGTACATGTAACGTAAAAGATAAAATTTATCTCTAAAACAACGTACTTTTAAAAAACCATAACTCATGTTCACTTCACTCCAGATCATTTTGTAAACCTGGAAGATTATAAATTTAGGGTTATATATAGTCTGTATGAGGTGAACTGAATAATTATTTTTTATGTATGTTGCAGGCATTGGTATTGATGACACATTTGTAATGTTGGCTGCATGGAGACGAGCTTCCCCAAAACTCTCAGTGCCAGAAAGAATGGCCATAATGTTGTCGGAAGCAGCCGTGTCTATTACAATCACCTCCGTCACAGATATGCTGTCTTTCTTTATCGGAATATTCTCACCGTTTCCGTCCGTACAAATTTTCTGCATGTATTCAGGTAATGTTACAATTTTTATATGATACTAGCTGTCCCGGCAAAGGTTGTTTTGCTATATAAATTTTTATCGCTATTAAAAAATAAGGGTTGGTGATAGAAGGGTGAAAATTTAGGGTTGAGTGTATTTATTACTGAAACCTTATAAATAATAAAAAAGTCACAAACATAAAAAAAATATTAGGGTTCGACAACCCTTATCACTTAGAGGTATAAAAAATAGGATAGTAATCGTTTCTCAGACTTACTGAATATGTAGATATATAAAATTTCATAAAAATCGTCTAGCCCTTTCGGAGGAGCATCGAAAATAACATTGCGATACGAGAATTCTATATATAATATTAATTAATTACAACAACAACAACATGGTAACAATTGGTAAGAATATTTGAAAATTTGATATTTACACTTATCAAATTTTCAAATAATGTTACCAAGTTACTTAAATCAGTTTATAAAACAAACTACAAGTACTTAAATCAGTTGTAAATTATTGTGTCAGTAACACATGCTCTCCTTAGCTCGAGAGTATATGGTGTTATGGGAAGTACCCAGAGTTATTACTGATAAAATATAAAGTCTCCAATGTGCCTTACTTGATATTCTAAACTATTTCTTGTAGCATGTAGAACGTTGAAAGATAATTTTTTGTTATTAATAAAACACGACTTTTAAAAGTTCCACCACATTCGATTTTATTTTAATTCTCTATATACATACACCTGTAGTAGGTATATTACTCACGCTAAATTAATATTATTATTTCTAAGAGTTTTCTAGCCTAACTTTTATTACTGACAATAATTTTCTATGTCACTGTGATTGCAGGTTTAGCAGTTTGCTTCACGTTTGTGTGGCATCTAACGTTCTTTGCCGGATGTGTTGCTATATCAGGATACCGAGAAAAACAAAATAGACACACCATCACTTGGGCAAAAGTATTGCCTGAGTCACGAGCAAGGAAAGGTGGGTAAAAGTTTCTTATAATTCAATTGCAAACATTATTACAATATTTCTAAAAGATTTTAATTAGGTAATAGGCAATGTTTGTAATTTTCCAAAATGCGTATGTACTCAATTGAATATTAATGGAATGATTGAATGGGTTGTAATGCTCTTGCCTGCGCTAACGGTGTTAGTCTGGTGAAGGCACCAGTATACGATGGTAAGATAAGTATGAAGCCAGGTCAGATAGCACATCGTGACAAATTCACCAGCAATTAACCATGTTGATTTCCAAAGGGACAACGTGTAGATCCACCTGTATGGTACATTGTTAGTAAATTGTGTTATTAGTTTAATGTCCTTCCCTCCGCTTAAGTATGTGCGTCTAATTGAGTTAAAATTTGTCTCACGTTCAGTAACAATATATCTCATAATCTTATAATACTATCAGGTAATGATAACGGTAAAAAATGACCATAAAAGCTCAGGAATCCTGGAGGGTAATTAAAGTCCTTGGGTATATTTAGAATCTTCAATAAAATCCAATAAAATCCTATTTATTATATAATTTTATGTCTTTTACAGCAGAAAAGTCTTGGTTATATAGAGTATTCTGCAGCGGAGGTATAGATCCTGCCGATCCAGACAATCCCATTGACAATAAAGAACATTGCATTATGGCCTTTTTCCGTACAACGATGGCAAATCTGCTCAACAAAGGTGCAGTCAAGGCTCTAGTCATTGTAATTTTCATACTATATCTGGCTGGTGCTGGATACGGAGTAACGAATTTGCAGGAAGGCTTAGAAAGGCGGAAACTCTCAAAGGAAGATTCATATTCTGTGGAGTTCTTCGACCGCGAAGATCTTTATTACAGAGAATTTCCTTATAGAATCCAGGTATGAAAATAAAATTATTCAATACCGCCCAGCGCAACTTGTTCTTCATATTTTTTTTCCATTTTGATTCCATTTGACATTTTTGATTTCTGCTCCGCTCCTATTAGTCGTAGTATAATGTTATTAATCTACAGCCATTCTTTGATAAAATGGGCTATCCAACTCTAGAATAATTTTCAAAAACTCACAAATCTTACTTTTTCATAATATTGGTGTAGAGTACAGATGAGTCTCACGTTATAATTGAAATGACTAAAATTTGAATATTTATAGGTGGTGATCAGTGGTAATTACAATTACTCGGACCCTGCAGTGCAAGATGAAGTGGAAACACTTACGCAAAGATTAGAAAATACGTCATACATATCGAATTCCTTATATACTGAATCATGGCTCCGAACTTTCGTAAATTATGTATCGAGAAACAACGATTACTTAAACGTAACGATCGACGAAGAATCTGACTTCATTCAGAATCTTAAAGAGGTTGGTACCTTTAGTCGAGGTTGGTTGGTAGAGATTTTCCTTTCTTCCAGTCAACTTATTATATAGATAGTATCTTTGCATGGAAGATATATGAAAAAAATATTACTGATGAACTTTATCAACGTAATAAAACCCAATTGAATCCATAGATTTTTGTTCGCTTATCTTTACCTTTTGGCCCTATAATATCAGAAACGGTATAATCAATTTATCCAGTTTTTAGTAATGATAAACTTCACTTTTTTATGAAACTTTGCTTCTCAATATATTTATGAAAATATCATGTATGCCAGGAAGAATATAGACAGTTTCAAAAGAGTTAGAGATTGCACTAATAAAAGCTTACGTAACAATAACAAACTGATTTTACCTAAATGTCGTTTGGCTAAAGTTAGTAATTCGTTTTATGGCAATTGCGTAAGGTTTTACAATAAAATACCAGAGTCTGTTATAAATCTGCAAAAAAGATTTAAATGTCAAATAAAACACTTCCTTTGCAAAAAAGCTTACTATAAAATTGAAGAATTCGTTAACGATAATAATGTTTTTGTAGAAAATTTTTAAATACATAGCACTGACAATATTATCTGATTACACTAATAATGAGTGCGTAGCGATTTCTATGTTGATTATCGCATGCCTCTTACTTGTTACACTGTAATTATTTATATAAAAAAAAACATCTATTAAAAAGAGCAACACACAAGTTTCTTGCTCATTCTTCTTGTGATGAGTCTGCATTCCGAATGAGTGGTAGAATCAAAATATGACTATTCAAAAGTGCTTGTAACTCTAAAATAACTAAATAAACTCATTATTTGAATAAAGATTATTTCTATTTCTATTTCTATTTCTATCGTTTTTGTTGTTTGTTTTATTACAATCGTCTTTACACAAAATAACTATACAGGTACAAAGTCACAAACTCAGCTAGCATGTACAATGTTTATACTATACAAAATAATTATAATTTACAGCTATGGCTATTCCCTGCAAATCCATTCTCTCTGGATGTTAAATTCAACCAGGAAGGTGACAAGATAATTGCCTCCAGATTTCTAATACAAGCGATTAACATAAGCGGTACCAATCACGAAAAAGAGATGGTAAAAGTATTAAGAGATATTGTTGCGGAATCACCTCTAAATGCTTCAGTTTTCCATCCATATTTCATCTTCTTTGATCAGGTACGGTTTATTTTATATAATACAAATTCTTATATTATAAAATTATTACAATAATCATTCGTTATAAAATTATTATAGCACCCACATAAGATTAATTTATAGCACCAGCGTAAAAAAATATAATTATGTAATAATAATAATAACCCTGGACAATTCACACAAAGTCACGTAGTCCCAAGGTAAGCAGAGCTTGTATTATGGGTACTAGACAACTTATATAAAAACTTAATTTTTTTTTTAAATACATACATAAAGACATCCAGATTGATAAAAACAATCATAGTCATGTATACAATTTTTACACACATATTTCTATCGTACGGGCAATCAAGCCCGCGACCATCGGAAGTAAAGCGGCGATCTAAACCGCAACACAACAACCTCAATATAGATTTAGTTTAGGTTTTAAAACGTGTTTCTTCTGTTACAGTTTGAACTCGTAAAGCCGACGTCAATTCAGAATCTATGCTACGGTGCGCTGATGATGATGATTACATCATTTATATTTATCCCGAATGTTCTATGTTCACTGTGGGTAGCGTTTAGTATAGTGTCCATTGAAATTGGTGTAGTGGGCTACATGGCTCTCTGGGATATAAACCTCGATTCCATATCTATGATCAATTTAATCATGTGTATCGGTTTCTCCGTGGACTTCACCGCACATATATGTTATGCATACATGGCATCCAAAGCGAAATCTCCTGACGTCAGAGTTAGTGAGTGCTTGTACTCTTTAGGATTGCCAATTGTACAGGGGTCGTTCAGTACAATTCTAGGTGTAGTCGCATTACTTTTAGCCGACAGTTATATATTCTCAGTGTTCTTTAAAATGGTATTCATGGTAATATTCTTTGGAGCAATGCACGGTCTATTCCTACTACCTGTACTATTATCACTATTCGGTCCAGGGTCATGTACTAAAATACAAGAAGATATAAAAACATCAAAAGTAGATAAAAATTTTCCGCATCCATATTGCATTCCACATCCACAATTAGTACTCAATGATCAAATTTTTAATGGCAAGACTCTAAATCCTAATGGAGTATACAAAATTTATGGCGATGATAAAGACCTAGGTATTGGTACTTCTGGCGAAGATACAAGTGAAAGTAGTTCTAATCAGTCACAACGTCGACAAATTGGAGACGACGAGAGTAATAGAAAGAAATATGAAGATGGCTGGAAGAGATCCAGTTACTGTCAGAGCACCAGTCAATTTCAGCCGTCGGGAGAATTGGATTTGTATAGTCACGAAATAGATAGAAATTGGCAAAGACAACGATACGAAGATAACCGCAGAATATTCGATAATTATAGAAAAGTTCCGAGATCAAGGGACGATGAGTGGGTGACGACTCGTAAAAGCAGCGATACTGGACCAAGGCGTGACAGTACACACAGAGTGATGCGAGCACATTCACAACACAACCTACATAGGCCACGTGCACCTAGACGTACCAACTCACATCAAAATCTTGAGCATTTAGATTATGTAGCAGAGATGAGATTCCCCTGACATTGGTCACGAGAGTGCTCTAATTAGTAACATATCATGTGCTCAATTTATGGACCAAAGTATTAGGATGCCTTTGTTGGTCGAATACAGTAATGTAGACAGCAATCTACTACAAACGACCGAGGAACATAAGTATGTCTGTGTTGTTATTTTCATAATTTAGTAAGTAACATTATTTAACGATTTTATGTTTCTAAAATAGGTCATTAAAACTATTTAAAGTACCTATCTAGTATATCTAGTAGATATAATCAGTTAAATTTCATTAGAAAATTTGGGGGAAATATGAGTGAGATATCCCATTGAATACCTTCAAGAATAACTATATAATATTTTAGTTTATAAGATATATCTATACCTATAAATATGAAATAGTCATGGGAGCGTTAAGATATTACGAATCAAATAAGTAATGAAGAATTTAAGTAAATCAAATAAAAGGAACTAAGCATATTATCTATAAATGTATTGTAGAAAATACCAAAAATATTATCCTAGCCTTCATAGATAAAGGATATAGGATAGATTATATACATTCTATCATGTCATATTAAGACATGGCATCAACAAATCAAAATGGTCCCAGTTTATCACAATCAACTCAAAAGAACAAATAATGATAGTTTAATACTGGCTGATCTGAATAATTTATTTAATCTTGCACTAGTTCCTATATACTTACATCAATCATATTTCATTCGGAATTTTAGAATTTGATATTCCCGCTATAATTAGAAATGTGATATTATAATAGGTATATTTTACAGATATAAAAAAAATTATTGATACATATAATTTTTTATTCATGTTGGTATTTTACTACGGTTTTTACAGTGTAGGTATACTACTAATAAATGAAGTGTTTTTGACACATTATTTGAGTTAATTGTTGTGAACAAAATAATTAAAATATCGACCTATCTTGAATCTCTCGTGCGTACCTACATAAGTATACAAATTATTTTAGATCTATTATATCTCAATGTAAAAAACCCTACCTATATTTGAGATGTCTGAATATTAGTAATTGATATTAATCTAATTTTCCATTCATTCATTGGGGCTCGCGGCATCGCGGAATTTTGTTGTTACCTTAAAAGGTCACTTAAAAGTTATTAGGACTCTTTTGGTGAATTACAGAATACAGAGGAACGACACCTTCGTCCTTCCGAATGGCAACGCATGAAGGGTACCGCTAGTGTTATTATGATTACAAAAAAAATTACATAATGCCCATTGTGCTATTCATCCATATACATAAGTGACGGCAGCATTCTAGTTACCGTCAGGGGAACAGGTTGAGCTGTCAACTTCGTTTGCCATTAAATTTAGATATAAAAGACCGATATGTTTCTAATTATTATACTTTTTCTGTAAAAATCTAATAGTGTTATATACGGGGTAGCTAAGTAATAATATAGGAACTTGTACATAATATACTTATAATTGTTTACTATTAATAATATTAAGTCTTCGTCGTTTTATAACAAAGCTTTAACATTACTTGTGTTTTTGAATCTGTAAATATTATTTGTGTGATATTATGTCTTGATGCCATGTGTAAATTAACTCAGACACGCAGTACGCAATAAATGATGATGTATATAGATGTTTCATATGTAAGAACCTACCTACTACTATAGGTATATTACATGTCACAAATAACAGACTACCAAAATCTACACCGCGAGCAAAACGTAGCATAAGCAAAATGAATTATCGATATCCACTTATATCGAAAATGTAACATAATTACAAACACAAAAACGCCGTTCCGTTTAGAATCTCTCCTTTTTGGCGGTCGGTTGAAAATATATTTTTATTTATTACTTGTATATGGAATATTCAAATTCTTTTAAATTATAACGAATTGTGTGCTTCTTTTTCAATATCAACTGTTTGAATCGATATACCTATTTCTACTATATATGTCGAGGTGGCCGCTCATCCGGCGAGTCGTGCTTCCACGCAGAACTGTAGATACGAGTAGTTCAGTTGCTGCGTATATGTATAAAAAATAAAGGCCCATTTCGCAACTCCATATACATCCTTTAGAATCTAAGTAAGATCACGGATTTTTTTTACAATGTTGCCCTATGATTATTGCAAATGTAAAATTTATTAAAAAAATGTATTCAATATTCACAATGACCAGTAATGGTCTTTAATTATGACTGATAATGTAAATAGTAACTTGTTTTATATTAATAAAATTAGTTTTGATATGATTTCGTTTTATTTACAATTTTCATTTTATTGCAATATATTAAGAAGGAAACTTTAATTCTACAGTTAATGGCTGCAAGGCGAAGGATTAATCGTAAGGATTTATGTATATGTGTAAGAAATAATAAAAGCGAAAGTAACTTAATCTGTCGCGCTATGACGTCAAAACTATTGAAATGGTTTAAATGATAGTTGATACAGATAGTCTATACCCTGAGAAAGGGCATTTAATCCGAAAAAAGGGTGGTACCTATCTAAGAGGTTGACAAGCGAAATGAAAGATCATATGGAAGAAACATCATTTTTAAATCTAGAAGCTTGAAAATTATTTTTTAGGGTATTGATTAAATATAAATAAATATGACACAAAGTTTGTAAAGATTTTCCCTTAAGTGGGTAAAATAAAATATGGGATGAATGTATATAGGGCAATTCGTAATGTTTAAATCTAGAACGATGAGTCTTCTGTCTTTGGCTTTTTTGTGAGATCATCAAATATATTTTTTCTTTATTTATTTGTGTCATTGAATCCTGAATTTACTTGTATGAATTTGATAATTGGGACATTTAAATACTTCAAAGATTTAAAATGATTCCTAATTATCGAATTCATGCAAGTAAATCTTGTTGGAAGCGTTAATAGGAACATACTAATTAAAATAATACCCTGCATTTTGATTCATCAGTCAGGTAAAATTAAAGCCAAACTTTTAACATAAATACTGGTTTATTTACTAAGTATTCGTCATTTTTGCTACGAACCGATAAATACATTGTCAATAGAACTACTAAGTTAATCATTGAATTAATGTAAGAAAAAATTGTTGACATAATTTTTATAACAGTTAAAATTATACCTTATAATAAAACTATGCAGTTTTTGTACTATCTGTTATAAGGGCTTATTGTGTATGTTCTGTAATAATTTACTACAGAACAAAATAAGATCACTAGTTTGGAACTTGTCACATAAATATGACATTAAAAATGTTAACTCTCTGTTTTCAGTTGATCCGCTTGTCTCCGATACTCTTTCTAAAACCTTGCTAATAACTGTTTGAGCATTAAAATCAGTCACTTGATTCAAAAGAGAATCAGTAAGAGCTGTCAATGGTAAACTTTCAGCAATACATTTCTTAGAATCCTGTTTTAGTTGTACTTTAAGTTTTTGTATGAAATCCGGACGCTGAAATAAATATTAAAATATTACTACCCAATAAATATTAAATTAATAATCATTTTAAAAGTTAGATTAATATTTTTATTACATTAATTAATTCACGTTATAAGTAAATCATATCATCGATTAATTAAAAAAAATAACAAATGAGAAAATAAAAATATCAAAATTAAATTACTCACTTCTAACAAACATGATGCAATTACTTCATTAGTAGGTTGACGACCAGATTCGTTAGTTTGAACAGCAATATCAGATATTGCCTTTTCAGTCTGAGTATAGGCATATTTTAATGAAGTAGGTACAGTTTGCATCTCGACGTCTAATGTGACAGTGGCATCAGTCTGCACATCTACATCAGTACTCTTAACCTGAAGCACTGGCTCCAGAGTAACTGTCTCAAGGTCCTGTTTTCCTATTTGTTGTTCTTTGAGTGGAACAGCTTGCTTTAAAGCATATTCAGTCAACACTTTTCTAGCAATCTTGACTTTTGGAGCCTTTATACATAATCGATTTATTTCAAGTTCTGTCATCTTCGCTAAATCACCAATAGTGACAATTTTTTCTTCCAATTCTTTTAGGAACATTAATTTCATTGTTGATGATGATAAATCACCAGCAATAATATCTATTGGATCTGTGCAATCTATTAAATCTGGACAAATTGGGTCAACATTATTAAGATCACTGGTCTTTACAACTTCGACAGAAGGAGTTTCATCCAAAGAAGTTACTGGAGTGTCATCAGTGCTCATGTTTTGATCAATTTCGTTAAACCTTTCCACAGCTTTAGTTAGCACAGTCTCGAGTTTGAACACATTGTCAAGTCTTTTTGGTGATTTCATATTAGTTTGGGACCTCGTCTGTCTCTCTTGTCTTTTAAGCCCCGAGCTTTGTGGAGATCGAATTCCACTAGGTTCAATATATTTTTGTACTGATATAGTTGTGGAGACCGGTGGATCGTGAAAGCTAACTCGTTTTCTCTGTAATAAAATGTTATAATAAAAATCGAGCAGAGATACTTAACTACGCTAGTAAATAATTTATTAGTTGTTAATATTTACCTTGCTCACTGGAGATACTGTAGCGTCATCTGCAATTTCAGCCAATTTTCTCTTCAATATTGGGCCAGAGGGACTTTTGTCAGAAGTTGGTAAAGTTCGTTTTAACTTTAGAAAACATTTATTATCTTCATTTTCCTCTAAATGTTCATTATTATCACTGACAGAATTATATAAAATTCTTAAGTTCCTCCTAGCTTGAGTATTATTTATATTACATTTTTTAGAATCCTCAGGTTCGGATTTCTCTAAATTTGTAATTGTTTGCAATCTGTTTGTAACAGGCATACACAGTCCTAACATTTGAGCTGCACGGCCCCCAGTGCGTACTTGGGGTTTATTTTTCTTTAAAGATAATGATGAACTTGGGCTTGTATTATTATTTACATTAATTTCTTGACGAGGTGGTGACTGATCCCTTTTATCAGGCGAAATTTTATCATCTGTGAAAATTTCTGGTGATTCACATTTATCAAAAGGCTCACCATTGCTCTGTACAGGTGATGTTAGTTTTATAACCACAAAGTCACTACTAGTTTCAGGCGATGGTGATTTTTTGTCTCTCACAGGACTCATTGTTTTTATTGGAGATATCTCTAATGTGTTATCTAAAAAGTCTTTTTTCCTTTGTACCTCATTTTTCAAAGGTGAAGACGCTCCATTGTCGTCTATACTTACATTGATATCTTTATCTGGTTTAGATAATGAAATATCACCATAAGTAGTTATACATGAATGTTCCCCAATCATTAAATTATTTACAGTACTATCCAAAGTATTACTCCTACTTTCAACATATTCGGAAACTTGTGGAAAATCGTTATTATTTGTAGGCTGGGTATTAGCGTCTGCTAATTCTTGTGTTTCTGTTCCTATAAAACTGTTTTCCATATCAATGACTATTGGTTGCATTTCGTAACTAGTCATTATAACTTTACCAGATTTATCATTATGGATAGGTTCTGTATCCATATTTTCAGTTAAATCAGCTTCAAACCGAGAATCCAATGCAGTTTTGTTTTGTAAAAAATTTGTATCGTCGTTACATTCTTGATCAATTGGTAGTGTTTCCAATGATTGGCTATTTATATTAAGCAAATTTTGGGTTTCAGAAACAGACTTAGAATTATGATTGTGTTCCGTAACAGGATCTTTTGCAATAGATAATCTTCGATTGACCTGTCTTGTCGATTTTGTTGAGACCGTTGTAATAGAAGAATCCTGAGAACTTTCAATAACATCTTCTGAACAGGGTAGATCTTCTGGCGTATCAACATTCTTAATTTCGTTTTTACTCTGTGACCTACTTGTACTACTGGTACCTCGTGATGATTCGATTTCAGTATTTTCTTTCTCTTTAGTCTTTTTAGGAATTTTTGTGTTCAGTCTCAAATCTGTTTTAGATTTGTTTAATTTGTCTGTTAAATTTTTTCTCCTTCCACTATTTATGCAATTGTTTATATTTTTCCTAGTCAATCTCTTCTCAGACTGTACCTTCAAAAATGGATGTCCTTCAACCATGTCTATAGCCAGTTCTTTCTCAATTCTAGATTTTCTAACTCTCTTCTTTTGCGTCGACTGTTGTAGATCCATTGTTTTGTTCTCTTTTGGTGTAATAATATCTATAGCGTCATCATCATCTAATGAATCCAGAGACTTTTTTCCAACACTTATATTTTGTTTATCAGTTATATCGGGTTCCGACAATATAGATTTCTCAATTTGTGCTTGAAGGTTATTAACAGCTGAATTCTGTAATTGAATTTGACAGTCTTGGGCACTATCACAAGAACTATTTATAAGTCTGTCACTGGAAATACCCTTTTCTTCAAATATTGTAACTTTATTGACAGCATCTTTCATTTTCTCATGTGGTGAACTACATTCATTTGGGATTATTGCATTTTTTTGTATTAAGTTAACGTCTTTTGTTAATTTATCTTCAATAGTATTAGTTCCTTCAATATCCGTTAACTGTGAATCTATTTGAATAGAATGGCGCCTTCCTTTTTTCACATTTAAAAATAGCTCTGAATCGTCAAATTTTCTAGGTTTTCTTTTAACGCGTGATGGTCGTTCGGTATTTATTTTCGAAGGTGCAGAATGAATCAGATTGGTATTATTGCCGTCATTTAAGGTAGTTTTGGGTATACTTTCAATAGGATGTGAACATTCAGGCAGACTATCTTTGCCTTCATTTTGTAACGAAGATTTTTCTATGAGAATCTTAACATTTCTGAAAACTCTATCTTTAAGAGTAATTCGGGGTGTCTTTACATCTTTAACGAGTGGTGATATGGGTTTTAGTTTATTTGAGTTAGTATCTTCAATTTCCTTTTTTCTGTTATCTGACATTATATTTTCTATTATTGTAGGTACAACATCAGAGCTGGGTATGTCCATTAGTAATGATGAAACTTCTTCACGTATATTAGACGACTTGCTATTAGAAGTTGATGTATCCTGTGAATCAGTTTTCCAATTTGTTAATTTAAAGTCATCTTGCGATTGAGATAAATCTTGATATAACGCAGGAATATCTTCTCTTTTTCTTTGTAACTTTTCTTTTTGAACTTCTGTCAATTTTTTAGGATTGAACTTCCAATTTGACTTAACAACCACATATTCTTCACCATTTTCAACAACAGTGTTAAGAATTTTCGTATCCCTTTTTATGCTTTTATTCATTTTCTTTAATTTAGGAGAAGTAAAATCCTTTTTATCAATTTCTTTATCAACTTTTACCGTTGAAGTGTTTCCATTATATTCAATGGCGTTTAGGACTGTTTTTACTACTATACTGTCTTCTTTTGTCTCATATAACCATGATTTTAGTATGTCAACGACGACAGATTTCAGTGATGGGTTTTTCGAAATAGTACACAAACTCTTCATTAGCTTTTCTTTTTCAGGAATGTCTAGTTGTGGATACATTTTACTCTTAAGTATTTTTTTAACTGGATTAAGAAGTGTTTCAAGAAAAACTAAAATCTGAATAGGCTGAAATACAAAATGTAAATAATGTTTGAAAATAGTAAGAGAGAATATTTTAGAAAAAGATTAATAGAAAGTATATTTGTTTAGCATAAATTAATATTTATAATTAAATCTGTCCTAAATAGATCTTGAATTTGTTTATTACCCCTGTCCAAAGTTGGGATGCGTTTGCACTAATACACCAGATGACCGCGGGGTAAAAATTGTTTTTTTTTTTAGTTTTTATTAATGATCTCCTTTAACTATCCATTAAAATTACAACTGCCCATGATGAACGTTAATATATGTATATTGATTATGTTTAATTGTTCTATATTTGCTATAGAATAATATTCTATTCTGATAAAAAATGAGAGATTCTTTCGGAATATATTAGATAGAAAATACACTATTTCTTCCTAAAAACCACAGTCTTTCAATAAATATTTACCTGCATAATAATAATAATAATAATGTCCCTTCGATATCAAAAGGGGTTGCACTATTTTTTAAATAATTGTTCTGATTCAGAACATTATCTATTACTCACATAAATAAAACCCAGAAATAATATATATTTTTGTAATATTATTAATATTTATTACAGTATTTACCATATTTCCTCCAAAACTCTTCAAAATTACTCAGTTCTAATAGGACATATATTTAGAAAACTAGAGAGGAATCAGCCTAAACATTAAAATCAACCGTCCGATTCGCAGATGACATTGTCCTTTCATAATAAATAAACATATAATAAATAAAAAATAAATAACATCCCAAGAAACTAGAATATATGATAGAAGTCCTATCAGACAAAAATTGATATGTAGAATTAGAAATGAACCCAAAAAATCAAAGGTGATGACTAAATCCACAAAAGTTAACATAGAAGTCAAAGAAGTTAATCCTTACTACTATAATATTACAAATGCGACAGTAATTCTGTGTCCGTCAGTGTGTCTGTTTTGCTTTCACGCTAAAACTACTGAACTGATTTAAATGAAATTTGGTACACAGATACTACAAAGAACGGACATAGGCTACTTTTTAATGCGAAAATGGGTTGAAAGGAGTGACATAGAGTGCATAATGTACATGGCACCTTCAGTCATTTTATATTTTATTTTGTGTATTAAAGATTAAATTATTAAAAAACCTGAAGTAAATAAAAATGTTACTGAATTTACCCTAACTTTGGAAAAAGTCTTTAAGATGAAATAAAAATATTAAAATACTTACGCTATTTACTGAGTTTTCTGAAAAAGCAGCAAGTAGGTTAATAACTTCAATGATAACTGTCATAACACGTAACATTAATGATTCATTTTCAATTTGCCGCCGTTTGTCCATCAAGAGAACAAGGACGTCCACCAGTATTGGAAATTCTTCTTCAATACTTTCATAATTTTCCACTGTATTGACAATATCTATCAATATTTCAATTTCTTTTTGACATTCCATTTGTAAGCCTGCTATAAGAAAATATATGTCTTTAAATTGTTTCTTGTATCTTTTTTTATATAATTAGAATAACAATCTGACGGACTCATGAGAATAAGAAAAACAGTAAATAGAAAATTAAAGGCGGTCTTATAGCTATAAACAATTTCTTACAGACAAAAGAGACATCAATATATATGAACAGCACTATGAACATCTTGTTACCATTTAACCCGTGACTTCCGACATGTGGCAAGTGGCAAGAGCTCTACCGACAAGAGCGTAGTATGATGAGCGTAGTAGAGCGTAAATTATTTATTTATTTATTTATTTATTTTTTATGCTTGGCGACTGTAATAGGTGAGACAACTAACCACGCAATCCACTTTTTACAAAGTATACTCCATAATAACTCATTTACATGATTATAAACAGATTTGTGATGTCCCATAGTAACTCAAACTAGAAATCTAATATACGACATTGAATGTTTCGTTTTTTTTTATTGAATCAATTGTATAATTTATTTTCAAGTGAAAATAATGGCAGTTTGGCGGTTGACAATTATTCCAAATGAATATTACAAAATTTGTAGTTAGAATAGAGATAAACTATTTCTTTTAACATATTTTATTCAATTACATCTTATTTAATTGCCTAATACATTTATATTATTTTGTTTGATTCACTACCATCAGCATATGTGAGATCACAATTATTCAATTTTTAGTGAGAATCCTGACCACCACTACTGAAAGGGTTACGACTTTCACTAACGGTGATCAAATTCCAACCGTCATAGGTTCTACATCCATATTGCGACAAGTGTTTCGATGTGAGTATTATCTCAGTTTCGACTGATCTGCGAGCAGACTTCGGCTCGAACACTCAACACTAGGCATCCAAGCCTTATACGAACTACTGCTTGATCAAATCTCATTTAGAAGCGAAATACGTATTTCAATATGTGATTAAAAAGTCCTTTTATTACTTAGGATTTTACTTACTATTTGTATTTAGTAACTTATGCTTCACCAGCGCGAGAGTTACAGACAGAAGAAAATATTTATTTGTTTTAGTCATAATGACAGATGACAGTATTTTTGAAATTTCCTTAGTTGCATTTGTAGTCTTGATTTTGGAATATACAGTATCGTATAAACCGTACCATTTTAAACCGGAAAATCTTATCTAAAAAATAAAGTGTTGTTTGTTAATTTTTCTATCCTTGTTTGTGTGTCATTTGATAAATTTTAATGACATGGATTATTTTATTTTATCCAAAACTTTCTATTTTTATACTATCTATTAATCTACGTACAATAGTCACATATTTTATAATAGAAATTGAATATTTTTATTCTAAACAGAAAGTAAGTGAAACGTACCTCAGAGAATTTATTAACAGACTGCACTGGCCACATCAGTAGTTCGTGTAAATTCTTTTCAGACAGTGGCATGTTACTTTCATATACTGATTCAGATAGAGCTATCCATATAATAAAAGTATTATCATTTGGATGCATATTCTTTAAGATCCATTCCACTAAGTCATTAGGACAACATAATATTCCATTCATAACAAAATTTGTCACAGGTTTCAATCTGTCAATAGATCCTTGAATATTGTCACTGTAAAATTAAAATATATATGAAATTTAATTACATACTTACAGATACATCCATAAGGTATACCTTTGTTAAAAAGAGGTAATACGGATAAATTTTTCAGCAACTATAAATATTTATAATAACAAACAGAATAGTTTTATGCCTTGCATCTGACATTAGTAGTGTTGGCAAATCACATATTTCTTACATAAAATTTAATGTTACGCACCAGGCCAATCCTTTTCACATTTTTATGAAAGACTATGGGGACAAAATTTTAAATGTAAAAAATAGATACCCATTAGTATTTCGTCGACAATTTAAGTCTTATATGTTTTTTTATAAGTTAATAATAACTTAAAAGCAGAATGTAAGAAGTATACTTGCCATTTTAATTTATTAGTAAATGTTGCAAATAAACAAAAAGTTCAATTGTATACATAGACCAACATCATAACAAAACCTCATTAGTATTTGTTCAAAAGTGCCAAAAGGTTCAGTATTCATGGTACATATTACTACAGAACCCTTTGACATATGTTATCTCAATTCAAATCGACTTATCTTTTGAGTATGATGTAATAATTTACCAACAAACCTTTTGTAAATAAAATTTGATGCTGGACCTAATATAATTTGAATAATTTTATACATTGGCCCATCATTATCATCCTTAGGCAGCTTTGTTTTGAGAAGCATGTCAACGGTGTCATTGCCATGTTCAAATAATGAGTAAACCAAACTCAATACCATGTCTGACATTTTACCCAAAGCAAGATAATTTTTCTCACAATCCTGTAATTTCATAACAGATATTAAATTAAAAATTGAAATATTTCAAAATTAGGTAAAATCTTCAAATATAAATAATTTAATTGTATAATAAAATATTTTTATTAATTAATATTTATATATATACTTACAAGGAGATCTCAGCCCCAGCTTAAGAAAATATATAAATAAGATTAAAATACTAATGTTGAAATGTAACACTAAAGTAAAACAATTTGGTTAATGAAATAAATTATATACCTGTATGAGTTTTACTAAAACTGTCAGCAGTTCAGTAAAAATATCTTTCCTAATATTATTTTCAGGCAATTCACCAATGGTCAAAACAAATGAATTCCATAAGCATAAAACTTGAGCCGCTGTAATTCCAATTGATTCATTGACTGCTACTTGAATAGATTTTTGCAAGAAATATGCAAGATGATTCCAATAACTCACTAAATGCTTTGTGCTTATAATTCTTGTATTAAGTTTTGGCAACTTCCCGCAACCATGACACTTTAAATGACCTGCAATTTCTGTTAATGCTTCTATACCAAAATTTTTAGTTTTCTTAGACAATAGCCCAGGTACAAGGATAGTTTTATCAGATACAACGTTTTTCCCAAAACAGAAATTTAGAAATGATATTATTACTTTTTCTATAAATTTATCAATCTTATTTTGACTCTGCCTTATTAAATGCCACCATGTGTTAAATTTTGCAATCACAATATCTTCAGATTTGGCATTATTTGAATGTAAGGGTATTAATAACAATTTCAGTCTTTTAGTTAAGTAAACTTCATTTGGCTCTGGTAGAAAATTATCAATCAACACCTCCCAACATTGAAATGCACGACATCGATTTTCAGCATCCATCTTGAAAGCCTTTTCAACCACTGGTAGCAGTGAATTGATAGGACTGCCTACATTTGTATTGTTGCGTGTTATTTGATTTTTGAGAAGCTTTATAGCAGCAATCCATAATCTGTGCCAGGTAGGACATCCATTCTCCAATAACTTCTCCATACTTGCAGGCAATCTAAAACAATTACTTTTTGTAAACTATTGTATAATTATACAGGGTGAAGGGGACTGTTAGGTCAGGCCTGCCTGTAAATTTAAAATCACACATCCTTAAAGGAATAATTTATAATAAATTTCGCATCAGTGAACTTTGCATTAGTGAACTTTCGCATCAGTGAAATTCGCATCGGTCCACCACAAGTGGCTTGGTCTATGTCACTTAACATAATACCACCATCCTAGCATGTTTTGATTATTTATAATCAAAAGGTATTAAAATGTGTGCAATAAAACAAATACAACATTAAAGAAAGATATGTAAAAATTTATTAATATTTTTCTAATTTTTGCCTAACCTCCACATGGTCACCCTGGAAAACATCATATATCAAGAATAATTCTTTGAGTTAGTAATGATGAATTAATTCATATGACAGGATGATTTCAAAGCTTACACTATCATCCTCCACTACTGCACATTTACATTATTATTCAATACATATCTCTATAAAAATACAGAGATTCATAGATAAATGAACTTACTTTTTTGGATTATAAATTGATTCAAAAAGTATTTCCCATTCTGGATTATTGGTATAATCAATAGTCTTAAGTTCCTCTGTTAATACTTCCAAGGTTTCTATAATATTTGTTGAACCATCCAAATGAGCACACTCAAATATAGTGGGTATCAATTTGAAACAAACACTTAAGAAATTATGGATAAATATTGTTTTTTGTTCTTGCGGTAAAACCTTTGTCAATTTTAATACTACATCACATAGCTGAAATATTTAATATATTAGTATTCTTAATAGGTATATTGTATAATATTGTTGTATAACAAATTTGATTGCATTATTATATAACACACAAATAAAACTTGACAACTGAGCCCGCAACTTGATGATAATATAACTTTTTTACCAGAAAATTGTGAGAAAACTTACCACAATACATTAGTTAAAAAAGTACCTAAATTGATTAAACCACTTCTGAGAATAGCAAGCACAAATGTACCAGATAATGTTATAAAGTACCCCAATAATAGTTTCTCTCAAATATTTTTATGTACAGACAGATATTAGTGATATTTTGATCACATGTATGATGTTCGAGACAAAAGCAGCTAGCTAGCATTCCTGTGAAATTATCACAATATAAATGTGAAGATGACTTTAGTGTTTTGTCTGAAATACATAATGACATCCAAAGCAGACATAAACACAATAGACATAAAGTCAAATATATGATTTTTATCAACTACCTTGATTGTGTAGCATTTTAGCCACACCTATTTCTTGGTAATAGTCACAGGTTTGATACCTGCACAATACATACATATTATTATGCATTCATAAATGTATTTGTTTGTATTAGTCAGGATAAGTTAAAATAATATTTAAACTACATACTTTTAAATGTATAAATATACTTACCATTCTTCTAATTGCTATTGTATTTCTTGAATGGATATATAAATTAAAAATCTCAATCAATTCTGAAGTGTGTGAAGTGGCTATTGATATGAAAACACTATCAGGATACGCCAAAAATGTCTCCCAGCATATAATTTGCATTGACTCCACTTTATGTAGAAGCGCTGTTGTTTTCATAACATGTACAATTGCTAAGGCAGATGACAGTAGTTGCTGTGGTGGTGATAGTTCTCCTACCTGTTTAGTAAATTGAGTTATTATTAGTTTTTAAGTATATCCTCTGAAATGGCAACACACAAGAGGTACCTACAATATCATTGTTGAACTTTGAAAAAGGGTAAGCACAATAGATCTTGGCCTCTGACAACAGCTTAAACCCCCCATTAAAAAAATACATACCATTCTCACATCCAAAATAAAATAGAAAAAATGATTTTCTAGAAAAGTTAAAGCCAAATTAAGAACCTACAGAATTTTATTGAGAAACTAGGCATATTATTATTATATATGTTTTACATTAGGTTCTCATTTTAGGCCCTTGTGTAAGTAGGCTTTTATAGAATATTAATTGTTGACATTACCTCTACTTTTTTTAAGATGATATTGATGATCTTTAGTATATTGATACAGTGTTTCTTTTCATCCTTTAAATCCTTCTCACACACTGACAAGATCCTGTCCACTATGGAACCGCTCAGGACAACTCCATTTTCTAGTGCACTTACGAGCAATTTAAAATTGTGATTCCTTGTTATATATGTATTAAAATTATTGTCTTCTAGAATATCTAGAACGTTGTTCAGGTCAACGCTTAACATTTCTTCTGGCATGGCTGTAATAAAATAAATATTAGCTCACTGAAAACACTTAGTAACTAAATTGCAAATGTCATAATAATGAAACGGTCAGTTACAGAATTGAGATATAAATTACACATTGTAAAATATTATTCTGATCTAAATATGCATTATTAGCAGTTACCACTCGTTTTCAATGCAAATGAAACTAAATTAGTAGGAATTTAGAGGCTTATATTAACGAAAAATAGAGATAATTTCACTGTGGGCATAGCGGCCTATAATGATGTGGTGTTTAATAACATTTAGATTTTAGAAATGTTGAAGAAATATGTAAATAAGAAAGCACAATACTTGGTTATCCGTATTTCAATAGTAATTATTGATTAAAACGTTGTTATTTTATTCGATATGAATTGAATATCAACATTTTTGTACATTTATGGCGCGAAAACCATTGACAACTATTATTATATCGCCGTCGTCAAGATTTACAGAATAAGATATCGCTAGATGATTGTCTGTGGAATCAACAATAAAGTACCATAGAGTTAGTATTTAGGATATTGGTGTACTGTGGTTAGTATACCCTATGAAAAGTACCAAATTAAGATAATCAAAGTATTTATAATCTATGATCATGTAGTAAATGGAAGGTAAAGAGAAACTTAGAAAAATTACACTATAATATTAAAGCAATAGGATGCACTGTTATTGTATAGGCCGTTTAAAGAATTCACCGTTTGCCAATATAAAATTATAAACAAAAAGAAACTTCCTCTTTATAATATTCATTTTAGTCAGACTGTAATTTAATATATCTACATTATTCATACTACATATGGTACTGTGCTTGTACGCAAGGAATCTATCTACAAGTAATCGACACTTGATATATTCGCATATTCCTGTGCAAATTTAGATTCAACGTGGTTGAGAAGCGTGTCTTCAATCTCTCTTCGAATGAATTAATAAATCTGAAATTGTATTGTAGGTAGTTGATATATTCCTACAATGCTTTCGAGAGAAAGACTTTCAAAATCAAGGTATTTAGAATTTACAAGAGTAATAAATAACCTGCCACGAGATGATCATTAATAAATCGAGGATTTCCTAGTTTTATTTAAAACGGGGGTAGGTATCAATTTATTATGTAATATTTTATCTTGGACTAGCTATTCCCGCGACATCGTCTACGTGGAATTTAACTTTATTTTTCTAAAATAAAGAATTTTTTCTAAAATAAAAGTAGTCTAAGTTACTTCTTATTACATCAGATATCTACCAAAAAATCCAGTCAAAATCGGTCCAGCCATTTCCGAGATTACCCGGAACAAACAGACAGACAGACAAAAATTAAAAAAAAAATATTTTGGTGTATGTACCTTATCTTATACCTTATATTCATATGCATGTAGTAAAAATAAATTATTTCAATATTACAAACAGACACTCCAATTTTATTTATATGTATAGATTACATTCGCGTATTCTTAGCTGTGATAGGTGTTTAGTGAAATATGTAATATTTTGTTTAGCCATGAATAACTAACTGACCCAGCAGTATTTTTTTTGTCATACATTATTTCTAGTAAAGAAATATATCTGGATAAGCACATCTTTATCTAATAAGACGATAAAAAATGTCCTACGATTCAGTCTCATACCTACCAAATAGATATAGATACCTACATCAAAATTTCATGACGGTCCAGCCATTTCGGAGGAGTAGATGTTTCATCATCTACTCTTCCTGCACTAATGCTAAACAAGAATAGAATGATATTCTTTCGCTTGGACTGTCATAAGGAATTTATCAAAAATTATCCAAGATATTTTTAATGACGAATGACGGAACTCTGCTCTGATCAACATACAAAATTAAAAACTACTTATTTTATATCTATTGCTACCTATATATCCAATAGAGACTATTACTAAAACTCCCCTCTCCGCCCTCTGTAATATATTACGTACATACACTATGTTATGTCTAACAGTCGCTTTTTAAACTTTATATTAAACCGTATCGTTACCGTATGCCAAGTTCGCCAGATACATTTTAGCTATCCAAGGTACCTAAGAAAAATTTCCTTTCGAAGTTCGCGTGCAAACATTTCTTTGAATTTAAGTAATCTGTTGCATCTTCTCGAGCGGTCGCTAGTACCTAAGTACGTTACGCTACGCACACACTCCTTCGAATCACAGGTGCCACAGCGTGCACTCGCGCATGTTGGCTCATAACTCTTCCGTTGATTGCATCGTTCACTTGTCGATGTCCGCACGATCCGTGCGAAGCATAACAAGCAGCCTGTGCCAACCGAAACACATAATACAACTCCTTTTGTGGATGAGACGTGCAAACGAGTGGTAATGTTAGATATGTGGCCCATGGACAGTATTTCAATACGCGAAGTATCGTTCTACCGTGACAATACAGTTTAAAAAGTGTACAAACTATTCCTAAATGTTAGTGATGCCGGGTCAAGCAGGAAGCTCATACTGGGCCGCTGTGGATTTTGACAGTGAAGGAGACGATGGGCAAACACCACCTCCAAACCATCGAGTCTACCTTGATCCATGGGATAACGAAGCTTATGGGATCATGCAAGCAGAGACAACGGAAGAGGAGAATTTAAATTCGTTCGTTGGAGAACCTGTCAGTGCCAGCTTTTATTATGTTCCAACGAAAAACTATGACTCTGCCGAAGAAGCACCTACTCCAGCGAGAAGAAATATAATACCACCAGAAGAAATTATTGCCCCCGAATATCCATGTTATGGCAGGAAAATATCCAGGCCTGTACTACACGATGTTCACCCCGATTTCGCAATTTATGGAGAGAGACCAATCCGTAAGTTTTTTTTGTAATTAGTTAATATATGTATTATGTTTTACACACAGTAGATGCCCGTTTGTTACATTATCTTTTATTACAGAAAAATAATACGTTTAAGATCCCTATCCTAGCTATCAAAAAGAAGTGACGACTTTGAAACGTTTTAATACCCATGTCAATTACTTCAACTTTCAAATAAAATTGAACTTATCATAATTGGTATTTTCGTTGAAGATTAATAGCTCCGATATCATAGACAGACACACTAAGATGTCAAAGTTATAACATACCTTTTCTACGTGGGATATTAAAAATATCTGACAGTAATAAATATTTATACTTTTGCATAGCAAGAATGTTATATCTGGGTAGTGCTTTAACTAATAGTACCTGTCCTGCCTTTATATTTACTACCCAATGCCTTCGGTATCACAATTTTAATTAGGTACTAATGTGGAAAATACACTAACTTCACATCGAAACGTTTACGAGATGGACAGAGGCACCAACTACCATACTTTGTACCAATAAAGTATGTAGATACTCTACTCTTATTTCATTTTCTTTTATAACTCAATTATCATGATTCAGAGATTCTATATCTATTACATAGCACACAATTCATCAGATTATGATAGATTTGTCTATGTCTTTCATGGTATCTCGTATAAAAGTGAGAATATGCCACTTTTATATCTCTGTATACCTACATACCTCCATATATCCTCTATATCCACATCCCTTCTTTTCAATAATTCATTTAAATTCTATACATATTTCAGTGCATCATTGTTTGATATTGTATCTATATATAGAACATCGAAGCAAACAAGAGTAACTACAAACTATCTATATTATACTATAAATACGTATATTATTAATAAATATTGATCAAAAAGTAAATAAAATACTACTTCATTTAGTGCCAGGAAGGAACTGCCTCATGAATTTTGTAGTAGGTAGATAGATAAGGTACCATGTCACTGTGACCATTTTTATATGGTTATTTAACCATTTTATATTTTTATATGTTTGGAAATACAAAGCATAGATACGTATCTAGTATATACATAGATAGATACTAGATACTAGATACGTCTAAGTAGGTAGATATATGTTAGAGGTATTTAGCAACGATGTACCTACGATGTTCAAATCAATAACTGTTAACAAAATATATAAAAATGTGGATTTCATAAATTATTTATCTTATAAAAGTAGACCAAAAATACATTTCAATTCCATCTACCAGTATAGGAATAGGAAGTAAAAAATAATTATCTAATATATTATTAACCTAGAACGTTTTATATCATTTTCGAATGCCTAACTGGATATGATGAAAGTAATATTTTGCATATATCTAAATACGAATTTGTTACCAAAATTTGTTCAAACGTTATAGAACATGTTGATCTCAAATAATTTAACTTCCTAATTTCATATGTAAATGAGACAAATGAATTTCTTTAAAATCATATTAATGAATCGGTGAGTGAAACGACAGATACGTCATTTATGACTTCTTGTAATAAATTATAATTAATAACATTTTATAATCAATAATTACATAATAGTATAATTAGTTTTGTTTAGGCCAAATTACGCAGCATAATACATACTTAATCAAGATGTCATTTCGCTAAATTACATGATTTGATATCAAGAATAAATTTATTAAATTTTAAGAATTACATATATAATAATGGTTCTACTGAATGATACAAATTCAATCCCGAATACAAAATATACATATATGCCTATTGTTATTAATAGTTTGTTAATTTTGAATTCCTCCTAAATACTTCCTACGATGGTACCTAAACATCTTGTAAAGTGGTAGAATAGGGCCTTATTCTGTATTACTTAAATAATATACAAATTATCGCGTTAAATTTATCGTTATTACCAATGATCGTTTATGTATTTCCTTTGTATATTGCGCTTTATTTCTTTATAATAAAAATTATTGTAAGTACTGTGAGTACTTGACTACAATACATAATATGTCATAATGAAAAGCGACAATGAAATAAAGTCACTTCGGTCGTCTTCACTCATCCCCTAAGAAATACAAACGGTAATTTCCAATTGGAACCCCGCGATAATCTATCTCTTTTGATCGTTGTAGCTGTCATTATTCATTTAACTGGGAGATATATGATTATTATTAATAGGGACTAGAGACCCCATTACTGGTTGTTATACTATAAAGGTAGTGAATTCGCTACAGTGTGCTAACTGACCTGACTTTATCAATTCAATTCATCATGATCACCTTCTTGTTTCAGGTGATCGCCGAAGGTCTATGTATGTAGATGAGTCAATATATTCACCTCACCCCATTCTGTATGAGCCATTGTACGGTCCCATACCTGTACCACCACCTGTATACATACCTCCGCCACCAAGATCTCGGTTGTCTTTACCACACCACCCTGAATACATGATGGCGAACCTCGGATACAACAAACAAAGAAGACATTCCAGGTATTTGTATATTTATTGTGTACAGGTTTTATTATAGGCATATTAAGAGATAAAAACTGTTACATTGTGTAACTAAGTACATATACTATTTCGATTACTCATAACTTAATATATGCCCAGTTGAATCATAATATATGCGAATTTATTGTACCTATGCATACAGTAACTTCAATATAAATATTTAAGTAGGTACCTTTGAAACAACTTCAAAATTCATTACATTCTTCAGAATATATGTAATAGTGTCCGCATCCACAAGGAAGATATTTTGATTTCTATTTTAGACTTCTATCAACGCTAATACCATTGTCTACATAAATTACAATAAATATTTTCAACTGAAATAGAAGAACTAGATTTGAAGTAGGTATATCTAAGTATAGGCACGTACTAGTTATTTACATCGAATTGTGTTTTCCGTCATAATCATATTATGGTATTTTGTATAGATAGTAGACAGTTCTGTTTATGCTAAAATGTTTACAAACACTTGGTTGTATACTATTTTATTGTGAAAACTGCTCACAAGTTACGTATGTATGTCGTATAATGTAATGTGTACTTATCTATTACTAGAGTGACATAACTGTATCATTATACCTCACTCACAGGGTTAAGCACTAATAAAACACCAGTGAAATTTACATTTAGAGTAGATATTCGTACTTAAACAAAAGTGAAACAGCATATCCTTATTCTTACATATTTAAATATCTAGTTTCCGAAGCATATATACCAAAAAAATATAAGCAAACACCTAACTACTTAATTGGGTGATATTCATAGAAAAATGTGTCCACTCGGTCTCAAAATTCGTCTTGCTTAATAGAAATCAATTTCAAAAACCGGTGGATTTTAATTTGTATTGTGTGACTGGATTTTTATATTATATTCGTTTATGTTTTAACCAAATAAACGTTGAATAATCTTATTAATCTAATAAACTTAGAAGTATTTGAACTCTTATCAAATAAATATAATTGTTATGTTTGCTGTGTTTCCATACAATTGGTGGTAATAATATTGAAGTGGATACTTGAATTCTTAATATTTAGGTGCTTACGGCAAAAAATATTACTTTATTTTACTAAGTGCTTAGCTATTTATACGACTATAAGCATAAAAATATCATCGTCACGCATCTTGGGCACGGCGCCCAGGTAAGCCCAACAAAACAAACATTTTTCTAATAATGAGATGAACATCGTGCACAGAAAACACTTGTTGCGATTTCTACATTTGTCACAGCAGACTCACAGCAAAGCAGCATAATTACATAGAACCATTATGTGGTATAGACACGCTTAAACTTTCATTCAAGACAAACACCTGATCATTAACTGAGTATAACTTGAAAACCATGAAAAAGTCAATGCTGTAATTTCAATAATAGTCTATTGTTACTCTGTATTTGCCTTTTTTTTTTAATTTTAACAAAGAAATGCAATCAGTAAGTACTTAGATGACTTAGCATGTTGGATTATAGATGCATTTCTTAGTGTGTTTTGCGTCCGTACAAATTAGCATTTTTAGTTGTATGTCGTTTCTCATTCCCATCACAAAAGCGTATTATGTTAAAACCCACAAAAACTATGAACGCGTTGTCTGGATGTGCTTCAAGAGTTATTTGTATTATAATAACATCGTGCATCCACCGTGTGAATAACACCACTTTTTGTCTCTAAATAATGAAAGTTCCACCTGTGAGAATATAGCTCGCTTCTTGTGTTTAGAGAAACTTGTTCAAATGTTCATAACATTGACCCTTGCGGCTGTTGCATCTGCGTTTTCTCATAATAACTATGTAAGTACCTTTAATACTTTATGTAGGTAAGTAGGTGTGATTAGTTGTACCTATTTTATTAATTGAAACAATAAGAAAAAGCGTGAGATCACCGTGCTCTACTAGTTGAGTGACCAGAACTCATCTCACTGATATGGGAAATTCGATTTTGGTGATACAAAAATAAATGTTTTTCTTAAGTATGCTATATATTCTTATGGTACTTCAATATATACAGCAAAACCTTATTGATGTGACCACATCAGTTGTATATTTGTTGTCTTATTGTTAGCTCTAAACTTTTGGGAAGTAAGCTTATATGAAAAATATAGAGGATCTTACTAATATTATAAACTCGCAAGTTTGTGAGTATGGATGTTTATTACTCTTTCACGCAAGATCTACTGAATTAATTGTAATGCAACTTTACAATAATTAGCTTATACAATGTTGCAAGAAGATTAATTCAATCCTCCCAATATATGAAGTATAGATATAGCACATATCTACAGGATGTAGAAAACCCTGAAACCACCAACTATAGATGTTGAAAAAACAAACTGAACAACTTTTTGAGAATTTATCACAATTATTATAATAGTTCGTACCAATTGTATGAAAGTAAAGTTTAAACCTGGCTTCAGTTATTTATGTATTAATCACCTATTAATAGCACATATGTACATTATATTGTTCATATTTCGTCATGGGAACAGAGTAATTATACTAATGCTGTCACGACACTTTCTACATAGTTACAATGACGCGAACACGGATTTGTGAAGCTTTAGTGGATAATTAGAAAGCCAATGTTGCGTCCTAAATTCGCCCTGTTCGCTCAACTTTGGTAGTTTATCGTCGTATCATCCATTCGCAATATAGTGCGAGTTCACACAGCAGAAATTGTTATCTAATCCAAAGTATGTATGATTAATGAATTGACATGGATCGGAAATTACGTAACGATTACGCTTGATTTAATATATACTACATTACGTTTTATTCCATGAATATTAGTTAGTCCACCGATTGAGACAATATGAAACTGATAGAGTCAGATAAGCTGTATAACACGAAAAGACTGCCTACTGCTTCAATTCGAAAACAGATGTATTGAATGTTAAACACAAAACAGTTGCACAAACAATAAAATAAAATAAAGAGACGTAAATCGAGAGACATAATGTACCAAGGCTCTCTCTACCCACTATGGATAATAAGTACTTACTCACATACAACCCACTACAATCTCGTAATAAGTTCTAGAGAGAATCATCAATGTTTCTAAGTAGTACTGTGTACTTCTGTCGTGGGAGCTTCTAAAACATAATAACATAATACTTGGTAGATCTGCAGATATGCCCAGAATTATATTATTAAACTAATACATACATATATTGTTGTATCGTTAATAAACGAAATTTTTAAGTGTGTTTTATTTAAATAATTTACATACTTTACATTTACATAAATATAATTAAATTATCTTTAATTTTCCACTGAGGCTCTTTATAAAAAGTCATCTGCCAGCGTAGACAGAGGTGCCTCTGCCAAGCAATTTCTTTTACTGTGTTTCGGTTGAAGGCTGAGATAAGGCAAAATCATAAGATCAGATGCATGATATCTCTCCTCTCCTCCTCTGAAACCGAGCTATCTGAAATCACTTAGGTTCTAATGTATAGGAATGAATTCCATGCCGATGGCGAGCCGTACGATGGTAAAAGGTAGCCAATTCGTCAGACCACGGTCCTTTGTATATTCGGTAGAACACACAAAGCAAAGCGAAGTCTCGCCTCAGGCTAAGTGGTTCATACCGCCAGAGAGATCGGGATCATCGACAATTATCATAGCACGTCTCTAAACCAACTCAAAAGGATGGAGCTGATATCCAGGTACTCCTGCTCAAAGATGAGAGCAGACAGCTTGTTTAAAATGTTCTTAATCTATTATCTTAATAATATATTTCTTTTTATTTATAGGTTGACTGACGCGTACGAGCAATTTGCGTACGAGAGCTTGTCGCCGGATTATGAGGACTGGGCTAGGCCGTTCCCCAAGACTGCCCCCGACAACTTCCACCTGTCGAGATATGGACACCTGCAGATCGACTACTCCTGCAGCTGGAATTCTCTCGATAGACTTATCCGAAATCAGTAGGTGACTGGCAAGATTTAATGATATAATATATTTAATGTTGAGGTACGGTTATGTACAATAATAAAAAAATGTTTATTACGGTGATATTTTACAAAAATTCTATTTCATTATCGGTCATGTACATGAGACTGTACATTTGTATAGTTTAATTAGATATTAATTACAATAATTATTATTTTATATATCTATAAAGAACAAATGTAATTATTCATAATTTATATTTGTTAAGCAATGTATACCATTCCGTTAGTGCTAAAATTATTCTATTAGAAACTAAATAGCCAAAGATATTAAATGGACTTGTTGTAAGTTACACTTTCTTGTTTTTATTTGCGGAAATGGATTTAGGCTAAATTATTCCAATTTGGCTCGATCTCGATTAGCGATAAACTAACATCGTACATTATATAAAACGAAACGATAAATTCTAGATTATTAAATGCATAATTTGAGATTGTTACATCGGTTCGAATACTTTCACCAGTTCCAATCCGACTATTAATATTAATTTAATATACATCTACATAAATAATAAACATTATTTTTCATGATGTTATAATAAACAAAATCTTACAAACATTTTAAAGATGACGGCTACGCTGTTCCAGCGGTTTAGCGCACCACTTTATTTTCAATAGTCGCAGGTTCGCTTCTTCGCACACTACAAACATTTGTATTCATAAGTATATATATGATTATTCATGTGTTTGTTATTGGTGTATATTACACATGCATTTAGAACAAATATATATTTAAGTACCTATCTATAACACAAGCTCTGCTGTTTGGTCCTAGATGGCTCCGTGTGAGTGAATGATTCTGGCTTATTATTATTATTAATGAACAAAGACACAAAATGATCTTATACGTGGGCGACGGAATTAATGAATTGCATGCGGGATATTAATCAAACAATCCATAAAATATACTTATAAAATAGGCAGGAACGGTAACAATGCAAAATTGACAATAATAAATATGACAATTCTAAAAACGGTAAAGAAAATACATTCAAAATTGGTATAAAGATATATAAAAGTGTGCAAAGAAAAGAGTTTACAACGCTATATGTTATGTATTGTATATAGTAGTCTATACTTATCCGTGAATCATTTGTAGGTAGCTACTAGCTGGATAGATTACAAGTATTATTCTATATATTTATAAGTAGCATCTGCAGTTTCTCTTAACTTATGATGTTGTGGTTAGCTTTCGAAGCACGATAGACAAGAGATAATAATACACTTAATTTAAAGTAGGTATTCGTTTACCCATATTGAAACTTTCACTATTTATCTTTGTAGATATCGCTCTTGTTAGTAATGGCTTTTAATTAATTTAAAACATCATTAGGTGTATAGATATTATATAGATATATGAAAGTAAAATAGCGCTAATATAGCCTACTACTAACCAGTAACGATAATATATTACAATAATAATAAATATATCAGGGCAATTCACACAACGCAATCTAGTCCCAAGTTAAACTAGTTATAGCTTGTGTTAAACAACTAATACATAAATATATATTTTTTGTAAATACAGACTTACATACAAAACACCGAGACCTATACCCACTCTCATGAATAGATACAAATGTTTGTACCGTGGGAGGAATCGAACCCGCGACCACCGAAAGTGAGGCTATTAGCTAAACCGCTAGACCCACGATGCCTCAAATGTATATCCATGTTCAAAATCATTAAAAGAGTTTTTAATATCCTAACTGCCTATTTCTTATTATCTTCTTTTAATTTTGAAATATTGTTTACTTTAAAAAGTGTTCCTCTTGATACTTAATTTTAAAAATTATAAATTTCATTAAATAATGTTATTTTAGATTTGACGTTTTCAATTTGAAGAACATTTTTTAAGACATATTGAAAGTCAGTTATTTTTTTTTAATTGACAATGATAACGCGTTTATTTCGAGATTCGGCATTAATTAACTGCGATTATGAATAAATAATTCATGCTTCAGGTGAAGTATTACTTACATACAAACTTGCAGTTTGTAAACTATCAAATGTAGGGCATGATGTAACTTAGTTGGATGTAATAATTTTCATAACCGCATTCTTATTCATAGAAACGTGCGATATTAGATAAAGCAGCCAAATAATATATACCATCTAAAGATAAGGCTTAATTACTTCTTTCATCCGAACACAATGTTGTACTTACTAGTGGACGTAATAAATAAGCAAGCGCTTTTGTTGTAAACACTTTTGTTTAGAAATTGGTATCAAATTGAAAAGAATTTATTAGAATCAATTATAGGGATTGTGTAATATTAAATAAGTATTAGGAAGGTACGCAAGTTAATATATAATACATCGTAACGCATTACATAGTATTAGCTAAATATAATTATAAAGTATGAATAGAACAGTAGTGAAAGGAAAAAATACTATATAATTTCAATATGCAATATTTAAAACTAATGTAATGTTTCAATTAAGTTATTATTAACTAATATAAAAGATACGTGAGATAACAATTTCGTAATAACTAAATGAATAGTATAGATTAGAAATCTTGAAAATCTTTCTCGTTGTATAATTTTCTTTTCTTTGTAATATTGAAATGTCCCTTATTAGAGGAATTCTTGGTTGTCTTCGGCGTTTTGTTTCCATAGTACATAACTTGAAGTGTGTTTGTTGGCTTTGTTTGTTTATTTTGAGTAGAAACAGCAGCAAAATGAGGCTTTGTGAGACTCTGTGAATCTATCCTGGCATCTAGCTCAAGACATTGAGGATATGGGTCCCTATTAGCAGAGTATGGCCGTTCCACTTGGCTTTCATATTGCGATGCGACATATTGCGACGAGTAAGCATTCTGAGCTAAGTATTGTTTAAATTGATTCTGTTTTAGTTTCTCCTCCAATTCTTCTAGTTTCTATTAAATTAAATACAATAATTTATAAACAGCAATGTGAAAGTGGAATGTGTTGATAATTAATGGCAATTAAGTCTGCGCTGAGGTTAATATAATCGCTCTCATAGATTATTTTCATTTGAGCATTACTAGTGTGTAATTACTATTAAGATCAACAATTATAGATAATATCTAAGATTCTGATAGGCACTTAATGCGTTATATTTTAAAGCTATGTACGGGAATGTAATGTAAGTACATTACACTAATCTTTCGCGAAAATTATTTCTTATCTTCAGGTTGAATACGACAGTGGCTCGCCTCGTCACGTGGAAAACCCATATCACAGATATGTGTTTTCCACGCACAATACATATGGGGGAGGGAGTTTGTAATGGGTACTAATTGCCCTAGGTCCTAATGCTAGCAATGTACTATTTCTGGTTGCCTCACGTGGAAACGGCATGATAGGCAAATCAACGACCTAATTGAATTACTTAATAGATTTATATTATTATTATGCTTAATTCCGCTTATTATGGTAGATGAATGAAACAAAATAATATATAGACAGCCATAAGTAATGCAATAGACAGCCGCAAATTAACACCCAATTCGATAAAATAGATCCAACTTAATTCTCATCCCATTATCATTTACCGGTGTAGGTACATAGATACGCGTACACCTTTAGTGCAGACAGATGCATCATTCCATATTTGTCCATAAAAAAGAAATAGGTACCTACAATGTACCGATATTAAAAGTACAGTTATAATTGTTCAACATATTAAAACCAATTAGGAAAATTAAGTACAATAATTCAAGGTAATTCCGCATAACTGTAATAAATATGTATGTATATTTTCTTATTACGCCTATAGGTGTATTTAATAAAGTAAAATATATTTATATAGGTACACCTTCTATCCTTATCTGTACAAATAAATACAATCGAAATATCTGTTTGTTATTTCTAATTTTATACGGTACTTAAAAATCTATAAAAAAATTGTCTGTCTGTTTGTTTAGCTGTCTGAAGTTGAACTGATTTAAGTTAGATAATGTTATAAGGTGTAACTGACGGAACTTTTATTTTAGGTATTTTATTATAATTAGAATATTAATTATTATAATATATTTTATTGTTATTATAATAATTTAAAAAAAAAAGTTGAATGCAGACGCAGGTAACAGGTCTGATGCAGAAGCTATATTACTGTAAAGTATCATAAAAATCCGTTTGGCATGTATAATATTGGTTAAATAAAATACTAGATATTTAAAAATAATTTTGAATCGCACTTGACGGTATACTCCTAGGCTTGACTCTGTTCTCGTCGCTTCTCGTGCCAATTGCTCTTGGAGTTGAGCAATCTGCGCCGCTCCACGTTGAACCTTTTCTTCATATTCTAATACTATCACGCTGATCTACAGAAGCAGAAGAAACAATTTATTTGCTAAAACCTTATTTTTATAATTATTAAGAACTCTTTGGTTCATATAAGGAATATTATATTTGAAAAATATGCGTACCTTGTCAACTTTAAAATAATAGAAAATAAAGGACTATAGAAGACTTCAACGTCAGTTAATTTTAATGTAATCATACACTAAAATATATTATATTCTTCTTTTATTGATACTATCTTAGAACCTAAATATAATTACAAGTACCTACAAATAATTTTTGATACACATATATTAATTTTTGGGTTTGCCCAATATTAATAATTGTTGTCTTGGCTCTTAATAAACGCTATCTCGTCATGGAGGCATGCGTAAAGAATCGACAGGGATTTCATCTCCACACGCTAGAACCTAAGTGGTCTCGGACAGTGCGGTTTCAGAGGAGGTTCCTCCCGCGTACACCTAGATTGTGGAATTAACTAGCTGCCGAGGTTTTCTCACGAGACTACAGCATGGGGTTTTTCAAGGTTATATTCAGGTTTCTTATGGGACGGCAACACGCACGTAGCACCCCTGGTGTTTCAGACGTCCCTAGACTACGGTAACCATCAGATGGGCCGTATGCTTCTTTGCCACCATAGAAGTATAAAAAAATCAATAAGATGTACTGCCAACTCCATAATAAAACATTTTTAGCTACCTTATCCCTGTGATCTACTTCCATATCCTTCATTTTGGACCTTAACTCTTCAATAGCACACGTAAACTGAGCTACTTGTGTGTCAGACTCGTGCTGCACCTGTTGAACTTGTAATTTGTTTTTTTTTAAGATGAGAACACCTATGTATAGACTTATACATTTAGATAAGACAAATACTTACATATTACACTTAATAATATAATTTGAGTTATTATACAGTGAAGCTATGAAGGCCAGCTAAAACTAGCATTAGAATAGTTCGTAAAAAAAACTTCGGTACCAATATTGGATCAGTAGCAATAGATATACCAAGTCTGTTATAGTATTTATTTTTTCAATAAGTTGATATATGTGAAAAAGACAATAATTTTATACTAAAATTCGATCTCTTTACGGGGTACAGACTACGAATAAAACTTTACATCAAATGGGTCCCCTTCTCGATCTCCCGCACATTAATTCAGAGGTTCTCCTAGTTCCCTTAAACTAAAGTCGTATCCGTCAGGCGGGAGTTGGCCTACAGCCGCTCCATAAATCGTTCCGCAGGTTTGGAATGCCTTCTGCACTCGCCCCATATCGTCCGGTGAAGCTGTAAAGACCCGCTGTGGCTAATAGCACTAGAGTAGTCCATAAAAAAATCAGGTGGTTCGTTAGCTTCTTTTATGTTATGTTTATATGTGTAATTACAATGACACAAAACCTGACCACTCATCTAATAGTTAATGGCAATAGTTGCCTATATACATGAGCTCCGGAGACCTAAAATAGTCATGTGACACATGTGTGGCCCTCTTACGAGTTGATATTCTACTGAATTTCGATGTCATACGTCCATATCCTGTGATTTCCCTGCAGTCCTAATATCATATAGAACAAGCTACTGGGGGGCACAACAGATGAAGATATCTTTACAGACGACTCTGAACAAGTCTGCGCAAGTAAAACTTTTCTACATACACAGCTATCGTAACGACTCTTATGCTAGATGGGGTAGTTAAAAGCATTGTCTACTGTCGACGTTGTAGTGAACGCAACATAGGTAAGCTCGCCTCCTGCCAGGGATCCTGCCTATCTCTGATTATTTTTTGGTTCTAAATCGATGTTTCCTCCACCGCAAAGGTTTATAAGGTACATAAAAAAGTTTACAACGGCATAAGAATTTTGAGCGTTATAATATAAGATGTTTGTTGATAGATCAGTCAATTAGCGAGTCCGGTAAAAACTTTTTAGAGATAACAGAAAAGATATTATTATCTACCTCTCTATAGACAGATAAGATAAAATATTCATTAAGTAATCAATTGTAGAAATACTAACTTCTTTTCTCGTTATTTGATAGCATTTCTTGAATATCTTTTTGATGTGCTTCATGCATTGCAGCTAGTTTCTCTTTTTGTTTCAATAGCACATTTTCTATATCCTATTATAAAATACTACATCAAAAAAACATTACTATTGTTTTAATTATTGTCAATATGTCTACTTTTTAAGAACTTGTTTTATATAAATTAAACAGAAACCTCTTACCTTCTCTAATGAAGTGATTGTGGCGTCTTTTGAGATAATTTCGTCGTTTAATTTTTTAATGTCTCTTTTTAGATATACCAACTGTGAAACCGTTTCTTGTAAGCTTTCAATCATTTGTCGAGAGGCCATTAAATGATGCCTATGTGATTTTTCTAGTTCACGGCATTCCTTTAATTCTAATTCCATTTTTATATTGGTTTCACGTAACTTCTTACATTCTTCCTTGTCATTTAGATAATCCTAGTTATAATGAATTTTTATGTCATTACGATAAACGATTTTTTTTAATTACTAAAAGAAATATACTATTCAAACAAAATCATAAAAATCAAATTCAACATACAATTTTGCATTTAGTTAAAATTTCTACAAGGGTTTGTAATCGAGTATTTTGTACGTCATTTTTTTCTTTTTGCACTTCCATTTGCTCTTATATAATCCGAATAGTAAGGTTTATTTTGTGCGTTTAATGGTTTTTGAAATAAATATCTGCGCTCCCTGCTATTTTCAACTAACTTAAAAATGTGATTTTTGCATTCCCGCCTTTTCGCATAGCGTCAAAGAGTAAAGTAAATATACCAAAAGTAACATAGCGTTCTCGCGATCAGGCATTTAATTATTTTTTTTATTTAATTTTTTTTTTTTTTGATCAGGCATTGCGTTAGTTTAAAACTAACAAATATTTCTAGTCTATGACACCGTAGACGATTAAAAGTACTTAATATAGAGAGTGCAAGTAACTTAATAATAATTCTCATTTCTCTAAGTGTTATCTGGTCCTGATAAGTTTATCATGCATGCTCGTTCTCAAAATTACCGATTACCACAAAGATAAACAATGGTTAAATCGTAATTATTCTCGTCGTCTAAAAGTTTATAATACATTGACGCTATCTGTCGGGACAAGTTGTTAGTTTTTTCTATATCTAAATGATGTCAATGTCAATCATATAACGTCAAATTACATATCATTCTGAAACCATTCTGCTTTACAAGGAATTCACTCAGGCCGTATAAGTCAGTTTCAGTCAGTCAGTCAGTTCACAAGTTCACAATCTCACTCGCAATAATAGGTTTAGTCCACTAGAAATTAACCTTAATTTGAAAAGTTTTTGTACAGTGTTATAAAATATATAACTTTCGAATTATGAGCCATATTTAATGAATATTACAAAAGTAGTAAGAACTATTACATAGAAAGTTTTGTATAAAAGGAAATAAGTAAATTTACAGTATCCGGAATGGCTACTGCATATGGAATACATCTGGGTAACAATTCTGCATGTTTGGCATCATTCACAAATGGCACAGCTGCCGTTATAGCAAATGATGCTGGCGACAGAGTCACGCCAGCCATAGTAGCCCTTAACGGTTCCGAATGGGAGATTGGACTTACGGCAAAATCAGGTCAGGCATTATCAAAAGCCATTATAAAACACAATAAACGACTTATGAACTGTGACTGGAATGAAGAAGATTTGACATATGTAGAATCATCATCGTCCTGTCGTATTCAGAATGAAGAAAAATTGACTTATGAGTTTGAGTCTGGTGAAGCTACTCAATACTCAAACCCTGACAATATAACGACGAAGATTTATGCGAAACTATTTACGATAGCTAGCCATTCAGTGAAGGATGAGGGTGACTTGAAGTTAGTGTTAGCTGCACCTTTACATTGGTCTAATGAAAGTAGAGAGAGATTAGTGAAATGTGCAGAATTAGCAGGATTTGATGTTTTACAAGTAATAAGTGAGCCAGCTGCAGCACTATTAGCCTACAATGTAGAAGATACTGCAGAAGATATAAATGTCTTAGTTTATAGACTAGGAGGATCCTCATGTGATGTGTCAATAGTAAATGTAGCAGGAGGATTTATTACAGTTGAAAAAAATATCTTTCGTTCTGATCTAGGAGGCCAATGTTTGACAAAGGATTTAGCTAACTATATAGCCCAGGAAGTCAAACAGAAGTGGAAGTTGGACCCACAAGAAAGCCGTAGAGCTATGTCAAAGTTGTTGCATCATGCTGATAATTGCAAACATGTCCTTTCTACCTTGAATTCGGCACATGTTTTTATTGAATCCTTATTAGATGGTGTTGACTGGAGTCAAAATGTCTCTCGGGCAAGGTTTGAAAATATAATTTCATCAAAGTTGTCTGCTTATATTGAACCTGCCCAACAACTTATTGCAAGTTTTAATGGGAAAATTCACAAAATAGTGTTATCTGGTGGAAGTATGAAGATTCCAAAATTACAATCGGCCATTGCAAATTTAATACCAGAAGCTGAGGTTCTTTCAGGTATTAATCCCGATGAAGTGATAGCAATGGGCTGTGCTCGAGAAGCTGGATTGCTTTTAGATGTACCTGAATTTAATATGCATGACCTGAATGCAGAAGTTGAATTTCTAGGAAAAGACATTTACCTTAAATATTTAGATCAGACTACCCAAATTTTTAAAGAAGGTGCTCCACCATTTGCTCAACATGTTTCTAGCATAGATGCAGGTGTGGATGCTAAAAATATAAGTTTCAGCTTGCACAAGGATCCTGATGGTGAACAATTTGCTACTGAGACATTCAATGTGGAGTCTTTGAGTAAACCTTTTACTTTGAAAGCTACATTAGATCATTCAAAAGTAATTCTACAAATAGAATAGGTATATAAGATGTAACTCTAATTTGTATAATATAAATATTGTGTATTTTTGATTAAATGTATAAAACTATATAACTCTTTTATTATATACTTCATACATTTTCTGTATACAACACAAAGATTTATATGTAATTATATATTTATTATTTTATGTATATATTTTTTCATTATTCCACTAGTGTAAAATAACCACAAAATAATACCATATTTTCCCTGAAACATGCTTACTATGATTCAGGAACCACTTCAAGTAGCCCATAGATTATTACATGCATATATGCATATAACTGAGTAGGTAGGATATCATCTATGGTAACATTTTACTTAGCTCAAATGCTTTTTAACCGAAAAACGGTTACACTTGACCAAATTTCTAGGTTTTTCTTAAATGCCCATAATTTTCAAACTGCAGTGGATAGATTTTATTTTTCTCATGATGGTTACAATCAGTCCTATCCCCCCGATTCGGCTTCGCGTTGGGTTCTGGGGCACATGGTGTCCTAGCCTAGCCTTTCATTCGAGACCTATTCCCTTTGTAAATTTAATTCTTACTTAGAATATGTATAAGCCTTCTAATTATAAATATCCTTTATCTTTCAGCCTTTGAGGAAAGTGTTCTGCAGAAGGGAATTGTTACTAATGTGGACCGATGATCTTATTGCTAGCAACATACCACGTCAGATTGACCTCCACGTAGTTCCCCTTGGAAACTATCATGATAAATTATTGGTGAATTTATCATAATAGTTTCCAGGTCTAATTGACCCTGACATCATGCTCATCTTACCATCCTTGACTGGTGCCCCGCCACCGTAAATCAATTATCATCATAATAAATATCACCATGCAATTTTTATCCATAAAACAAGTGTTCTTAAATATTAGTGGTACTTCCATACTGCTAAAAATAATGTTAAGTTTTTTTATTTAAATTGGGAGCTTTGTATAAAATTTGAAGGCAAAATGGTCATCTGGCAACAATGATGACGGACCTGAAAAAAAATATGGATGAATAAATAAAATAAAACCGGTTTTGACAATTTTGACATTGAGTTTGACTTTTACCTTTCTGTATAGTTAATAATTGTTATTAATCTGTACCCTTCTTTTAAAAATGTAAACAAACAAAATTTTAGAAAGTTTAACTAAATTCTCAATTTTAAAATGAAATCTACTTTGATCAGTATTATATTTTTTGTGACATTAAATTATCATCACTTTGTAATAAGCAAAAAGCTTAATGTACTTGATCATTTGGGAACACGCACACCATACAGATTTAGGTTTAATAAAGATGATTCTAAGATAATGTATCCAAGTAAGTTTTAAATTTAAAAGTCTTATACAGACTCCCATTTGGTTATATTTTCGTGCAATATCAATACTATGTATTCTCAAAATTTTAACATTCCCATGATTATTTTTCATATTTATATTGTTTTGTTGTTTTCCTGTGTTTCCAAATGTTGCCCTTTGTTGTCAAACAAAATTTAAGTAATTGATATTTGATATGATATTTACGCAAACTACGAATCATTTAGGAAACATCACAAAAAAATTAACACGTATCTTCCCCGTGGCTTTGTTAAATAAATGTTTACATTTCTAAGATTTGTGTTAATTAAAAGTAAACAGAAATAAAATTGCATAATTTTCCTTTTCAGGTTGCAAAGACAGTAAGATTTGGATGATAGTGCGCCATGGTACAAGATTACCTGGAGCTAAAGAAATACGAGGCATGAATAGTACTCTTAAAGATATAAAATTAGAAATTTTACTTCAGCATAAACTTGGTAAAGGTACTATCATTCAGTTCATTCTTATATTAAATCTGCGGAGATTGATTTTTTTAATTTTATTTATATGTAACCGGTATGTATGTAGTTATTTATATAATGAAAATATGTTTTTATTGATCTCTTTGATACTGTAGGACACCTTACACAAGAACAATTAAATGACTTAGAAGAATGGACCAGCAAAGTAGATTTGGAAAGTGAGAAATATTTAACCCTTGAAGGAAGAGATGAAATGATATTACTTGCAGAAAGGATGAAAAATAGATTCCCAAATGCAATTAAAAATAAATATAGCAATAAAACATTTTTGGTGAGTAATATTTTTTTAAGTTAAATTTATATTATTCTGTAATATTGTATTAGAAATGTATTAGTCAATATCAAATTTCATTTATGACAATTAACATTTTTTATTATGTGGGTTTCACACAAATCATATGTATCATCACCACAACTCTTTGTAGTCTCTAAATACAATAATCTAAATAACTAATTTTAGAATTCATCAATGTTTTTTTTTTCAATACCTTATTAGACACATTCTAACCAAATGATGGGAATGTAGAATGTGTCTTAATTATAATGTCAGTATCAATAAAAACACAGTTTTATAAATAGAATGATACTGAGTATAATAGGAACTTATGGCTAGTCAACACAACTAAGTTATTATATATTAAAAATAGCTCTTAAATTACCTTACAGTTTCGTTATACAGCTACAGAAAGAGCGCAGCAAAGTGCCAGGTACTTCACACATGGTTTGTTTGATAGAAAACATGCCCAAGATGTAATATTTTTACCAGCCACTAAAGTTGATCCAGTATTACGAGTGAGTAAAAACACAGTTATGATTATACAATATTATTTACAAAATTTATCTCAAATCTATCAGCTTTTTCTACACTGAGTTGCAATTTTTCAGTTTTACAAACACTGTGATAGGTGGCAAAAACAAGTTAAGAAAAACCCAGATACATACAAGGAACAAAAAATATTTGGGAATAGTAGTGAAATGAATAAGACTTTAGAATCTGTATCAGAACGGCTGGGTCTCAATAGAGTGCTGAGTCTAGGTTCGTAGTATCAAAGATCATTGCAATTATTTTGCAGCTTGCTTTGTGCTATTTGCTCTGTACTTGTGCACTGTATCTATCAGTCTAACTCACATATTCATAAGTTAATTACCTAATAAATCTCTTATGGCTATTGGACTGTCTCTTTCTCTCAATATATGAATTGAAGGTGACTAAAACTGTAAATATTTAATGGTAGATTTATTGGTGTTTTTATATGTAATGTGAATAATAAGGGTTTGTACAATAATTTGTTTTCTTTTGTTTCTCACTATCAGTTGTTAATTTTGTGATCATTACTTTTTGATTAATTGCTAGATTGATCTTACTTTCTTTCTTAGTATAGATTATGTTTAGAAGACAGGGTGTTATAATATACTTTGAAAAAAAGTACTAAATACTATGTTAGACAAGGAAATATTACAGTTTACATGGAATAAGTATATATTCTGTTGCTTAATAGAAATTTTCACAAGTACCATATAAATGCTTATAGAGTTTGTAGTGTTTGTAGTTACATAAATAGATCTACATTACTTGTACATACATTACTTCTACAGTTGAGTAGAGTACAGTCAGTGTAGTATCTGTAAGAGTACAGACTAATATGTTTTTAATACTTTTTTTATACATATGTCTAAGTATGAAATTAAAATACATCAATAATTAACTTTTTACGTCACTAATACAACTAATATTGCATTTAATTATTGATACCACACCACATAGAAAACATACTCCTACCAGGTAGTAATGAAATAACTGTAAAAATAAAATTATATTTTCATTTCATTGCAAAATTGTAAATAATAATTATGTAGTTTGTGTGATATTCATGTCAGCTTCATTAGTATAGTATAGTTATATACCAGAATACTAGGTACTAAACATATTTTTTTGGTGTATTAAAATAATAATGTGTACTATTTTTAAATTAATATTACAGATGAAGTGAATTTAATATACAAAATATGTGGATATGAATCATCTTGGAATAAACATCAGGTTTCTCCATGGTGCTATGCCTTTGATATAGAGAGTGCTATGGTTAGTTTATATATAACCAAATAACATATTTTCTAAGTATATTTGTAATATTTATACTATTATTGTTTTCACTACATTTAAAACAATACAATGTAAATACATGTATGTTATATACATTTTCAGATACTAGAGTATTATCACGACCTCAAACATTACTGGATGGATGGATATGGACATAATTTAACGTATCGTCAAGCGTGTTTAGCACTTAAAACTATGTTCAAAATGTTTAGGTAAGTACTACCCAAGTTGGCTTATTTCTGATTAATCTATACATGTCCGTGTAAAATGACAAAAATAGGTTATATATAGGTCTTTGAATAGGTCTAGATAAGGTCGCACTATAATGACAAAAATTTAATGATATTCAAGTTATGTCACTTCTAATGACATGGATAGTAGTTCTGTTTTGGTTGATCTCCTGAAGACTAAAATCTTGTGTCTGAGATGACAACTGGCTATCATGTCGATTAGAATAAAATAGAACTAGCCAACAGATAATATGCTATACTGTCTACGTACTACATACTGACAAGCCCCATAAAGATGTTTCATAGAATCCATAATTAATAACTGGGAGTAAGGACAATTTATTTGTAAGCGATAATTTGCTGTTATTTTCTTTTGTATAGGTTTATATTTCACTCCAATCTATGATCACATCATAGATTGAAGTGAAATATAAACAAATACATACATGACTGCATTAGAATACGCTCATTATATGACTAGCAATTTCTCAACTTAATCTGTCTTTTAAATAAAAGTTTGTCCTCATGATACGATCAATGTTTAGATGTGAACTGGCAGAAGGACACACTTTCGGATTTATAATATTAGTATGGACATTGTAAAATCGTTTAATGACATTAAAAATGTAAAACTAGTATTATAAATAGACAGATAAATAGAGTAAGTGGAACATTGTGGTTGACTTTAAAAAATCTACGGAGCTCTTAAAATATGTGCGACACTTCACTACTGGTTTCTTTATGCTTCATGTTTGTATAATGTTACTAATCCTAACTTATAACTCTTTTCAGTGACAAACCGGATCCATTCGCAGTATTCATGTTCGCTCACTCCGGCACTTTGCTGAAGCTACTCACTCATATGCAACTTTATAAACCGGACAATCCCCTCACCGGTGATTCACTGGACAAGAACAGGCCGTGGAAAGTGTCACAGATTGATTGTTTTGCATCTAATTTAGCATTTGTATTGTTTAAGTAAGTATATATACATAACATATTAATTCAATAATAACATATTCTTAAGTTGTTCAGAAAATGCTTCAATATTTAAATCGACTTTTTTGGGATAAAGAAAAACATTCTTTACGTGATAATAATAAAGATGGATGGTAACATTTCAATTAAGTATTATAACCGAAAGAGCTATATTATCAGGTAAGCTTTAGAGTCCTATTCAGCTTAATTATAAATATAAATTAGGTGCATTTGTGCATTTAAAAATTTAAGTAATGTCCATGAATGCTCACACGAATGGTTATTCTTGCAATTTTACTTCATCATTAGGGAAACTAAAAATGTCGCATTGCTTGAGTCATAATAGACTTTGTTTTGTATGTATTTATGTAACTCACAGATTAAAATGTTCCAGTCAGTATATATTACGCCTTATGAAACATGGCAATTTATACGAAGGACATTCATTATCAGTCGTATATATCAGCATTTTAGACCCCCTAAATAGAAATACTATTGTCGCGCGTAAACTTGAAAGTTACTGTTGTAGTTATATATTTTTTTTCCACAGATGTAAAGATGGCGACCACGTTTTGACACTGCATCAAGAAAAAGTGGTCAAATTACCAATGTGTGAAACAGAGCTGTGCCCATTGGAACGACTTACAGAATATTTTCATGATTCCATAAATAACTGTGATTACAATGACATGTGTAGTCTAGACAATGATCGTAGCAAATTTGATGGATGAGATGATAAATTTGACTATCAGTAAATCAATGCTTAAACGCTTGTCAATTATATAATGTATTATGCATACAGCTTTAATTTTTTATGAACTTATATTTGAATACAAATGTTAGTTCACCAAATAGGTTTTTTTAATTTTCTATAATGTGGCTATGGGGGATCGGGAAAAATGAATTCAAATCAAATGAAAAGATATTAAGTCATGTAGGTCTATTACAGACTTATGAAATATCAAACCAGTACGAAATATTTTCAAGATTAGAAGAACTGACAAAAAACTCAGCTCGTATTCTTTTTAAATATGTTTGTATATGATTACAATAATACAGATTAATTTCTAAATTCAATATAGTGACGTCCAGCATATGCTATTGCAATTTTGTAAAAGCAAATAGTCTAATCAGTGTTCGTAACCTGAACAGACCAGTCCCCACAAGCAGCAAGGTTGATAGTATGTTAGACTCCATTCTCCGCAATTAGCCTCACATTCGGGCCGTTGTGCGTGTAAAGGTTGATAGTAATATACGCTCTTAGCTTGATCTCAACACGAACTGCGAATGGATTAAGTCACCTGATTTTACCTATCGTTACCCAGTCATCCTTCAATGGTGATTATCAGCATTAGGGGGCCAATTTTTCCATCATCATCCATAAAATAAAACCAGCTGCTATATCAATTATATCTTAAAATCCCAGAAAGGTGGTTAGTCATATTTATTTATTTGTTACTTTTTGTTTTTTTTTACCTTAGTGTTATAAGAGTTTAACACGTTGCTTCATATTTTGATCAGTATCAGTTCGATCTGCGTACAACACAAATATAACGTATTCGTTAGTATGACTGTTTATTATTTATTGTTCTGGACGTTTGTCTTCATTTTATCTGTATAATATCTTATTAAAGGTATTTGCTACAGTATCTAAGTTATTTAACAATAATAGTATAAGCTCTACTTAGTTTGTCACTTGTGCACTGCAGTGCTGTCTGCGTTAAGTGTTCAGTAATACATACTAGTATTTCACTACTAGAAATTTATTATATAAATAACTACATATTTTAGTATATATATATATTAGATGTCTGGTACTAATTATTTAATTTAATAAAAGTTTATACTTTTAGTAATGGAACAAAAATCTAATAATACACACTGGTATAAAAATATCATATATAAATTTCGAATGTTCTAAAGCAGCTTTCTCAGATAGGGTTTGAAATAATCTATAATAATAAAAAAATTAAAAATGATTAATTACGTACTTTTGTATTACCATCATCATTAAAAAAATATATATTAAGTATATTTATTTATTATTCATTAATTTCTGATTCATTAAAAGTCGTTTATAGTGTGATAACCGTATACGTGAGCAGCGATAAAGTACCAATATGTAACATGCGTATGTGCGACAGCAATAATGTTTGGGTTACGCATTTGGGTCAGGAGCATAAGTACCTATTTAAATCTCACGTGATTTCTCTTTGTATGCTTTCAAGATTTTAGCGTAGTTTTATGAGTCATTAAATTAACGAGGGATATTGAATTTATGGTTATATTTGTAATCTGGCCGACACCGATGAATTAGTATGTCACTTGTTATTTGTGAATCACTCTTTGATGATATACCGAGAATAAACCAAATTCATCCGCCCTACGGCGGTAGGCTCCGCCTTGGTGCGACGACTTAGCGTTAACGTATGTTGGATAATACCTCTACTGCATCTGAGATAACAGTCGTAAAGGCATGATAATTAAAATTACAATTTATGACGTCACTTTAAATGTTACATTAATATATATATATACATAGCAAATAATATATATGTATTATAAATATAATATATTATTTAAGCGACGTCATATATGTATGTTTACTGTTTTCTTTTCCAGGACTCATATTGAAAGATACCTATTTGGATATGAAAAGATACACACACATACACACAGTCAGACAGACTGATAGATATACTTTTGCTTTTATAGTACTAGTTTGGATATCCGAACAAGATGACGTGGTTAGTGAATGAAGAGCGTTAATACAATTAGATCCTACGTACATGCGTGGGTGTGTGAAAACACTACATAAATTAATTGTTTTAATTTATAACATCAGTCTGAGCCAGTGTCTGTGCTCTATCTTCTATGCGTAACAAGGTGTGACGGAAAGGGTACAATCCAAAGTCCGGCCGCCAATAACCATTAAACCGAATAGTTTTCTCTAATGCTGAGTCACAAGATGTAGATACACTACTAAGTAGATAGCTGGGTAGATCTATTAAGCAATTTACTACATACTCATCTGCGTGGATACCATCTTGTTTTGTCGTCACCAGATTTTAGCCACCACCACCAACAGTAATTATCGCAAATGAAATACAATAAAAACAAGAACTATTGTTTTGTACTGCCAGACTATCTTATCCTGCCATACTGAATAAAGAAACTGTTGTGATACTAAATCGTTTTGCTGAAGGAGTCTTAATGTGTAATTAATGTCTTGGTGTTGCCAGTAGGTATATATCAATATATAGGCTTCGGTATGTCAGATTACTATGATGCTATTGAGATGCTTGATTACTACATTTGGTATAAAAAGGACACTGTATTTAGTGGGTCAAGTTTTAAATAAATTCTTTTGAAAGTTTAATCAAAAGGGTCACAATAGTGTAATTGCCGTGCATTTGTTGGCACAAGTTGGCAACATATTGTCCGAGTAATTGTGCCATAGTATTGGCACCGACCTACGGGCATCCTGCCATTAAAATGTAACATACTACAAATATCCTATATTCTAATATAGAAACTGTATTTATCGAGAAATAATTAAATTCGAACCAGTGATTTACTTAGACTTTTATTAGTTTTAAGAAATCTTACAAGATCTTGGGTCTATATAACAAAAGTAGAGTAGTGCGGATATAAAGTCTTTGGTACCTACACGTTGTTTATCTCAGTGCCTTAAAACACATAATCAAAATTTATCTATATCTTACTACTTATTATATAATTTATAATAATATTGCTGCCAATTTCTTTACTAGATATATAGAAAGAACCTTACGATCTATTTTACTGATCTTTATTATTTAATGTAGTTTTTAAAAGCCAAGCTATATTTCGTGGCTTTCCTGCGTATATTAAGACTATTTTACTTTGTACTTGATCTCCAATTAGGTACCTATATCAATTTATTATTAAGTGGCAAGATTGACAGACGTTATTTAATATTAATAAAATATACAACCACCCGCGTAAGAAATTAAATAACAGCACTATAGAAATGGAGCTATAATTAATTATTATGATTTTCACTAACGTAAATACTTCATCATACCGAGTCTTCAGTGGTCCAATGAAATGCGAGAGCCACTTGATCTGATAGCTTCAAGTTACAGAGACAATGGCTAAATAATGGAAAACTTTCAAATAGCTTTTGTGTTTAACTGCCTGTTTCTATTCACGCCATTGAATTTAATGATGGTTGAGAATTTCATTAGAGAACAGCGCGTAATGTTAATTCTGCTACACGGAGATATTAATTGCAATAAATGAAACAAAATTTCACGTTTTATACCTCACAGCTGTTATTCTGTAGCAGTTTTTAGGTACTGAATTAATGAGTTCAAACTGATTGCGTGTGATTAGTCTTTGGGTGAACCATAGAGTTGGTGTTTTTACAGTTAATAAGTTTCAATGTGAGTATGGTTATTAGTAGGTATTGCGAAATGAATATTTTAACGAGGTATTTTAAGCGTAGTCAAATGAAAAAGTTCCTATATCTATTTGTATTATTTTTGTTAGGGGATTAGTTGAATTTTTGAAAATGGGTTTGTGAATAGGTAGGAAATGAATTATAATGTGTTTTTTTAAAGTGTTATATTGTTTATAGACTTCATATATTGTCTTCCATTATTTACCTAGCAATTATTACTACTTACCTAACCTATTTTAAAACCTTCATTTTAAAATGTAGGTACAATTATGAAAGAAAACACGGATTTACTTAATGCAAGATTTATAACTACTACACTATACTCATACGATTTTTATTTAGGTACATATATAGTAGATAAATTTTATATACACATATGTACGTATAAAATAAACAATTTTCGGAATTTGCGAATTCCAAAACTTCCAAATAATCGCCTCACCGCCGGGTGTACTGTTTAGCGTTGTGCAGTCGTAAAATGCTGTCTGGTAAATTTCTGCTGTCGATATTTATTTAATCACAGAAAGATTAATTGCATCATTGTTCCGCTGAGACGATGGTTTCGGCGGGCTAAAGTTATATGAACAGAGGTTTACGCGTTTTTAACGACCGGAGTAAACAAGGCGTAAATTCATTATGCAGTCGTGTTGATTCCATCCATCTGCAGTGTACTCGTGCTACCGTGTTGAAGAATACGTGCACACGCAAACCTCACTCAGAGACACCATGAAGTGAAGCATAAGTGTGTTCTTTTTTGGTATAAGAGTGACAGATGTTTAGTTTAGTAGGTATATTTGGAATTTGCTTCTTTATTAAATTCGGAAAAAAAAATTGAAAATGCAATCGTAATATTAGGAGAGGTTTTAATTAAAAGAAATATCTTCAAAAAGTACAGCATAATGAATTTAAAATTAAATAACGACTTAAGAGGTTCAGTGAATATGTTGAAGAAATCCAAAGCACCTGCATCTTCTGTAAAGGTAGTTGATTAAGGCATGTGCATGTCTTTGAAAGTTTTGTTTGAGCGATTTAAAAAATTATAATAACCACGACATATGAAGAAGGTTACTATGATTAATTTTATTTATCTAGCTATCTATGCTTTGCTAGAAGTAAATAGAGTTTATAGTTATTATTTTTTGCTTAATCCAACTATAAAAAATAACAATTTATTATTAAAACCTTAATGAAAATATAGTTAATATTATTTAATGACTAGGTGGGCTATTATTAATACTACGAACGTTGTTTTACATTTTAATAAGTCTATCTACTTGGATAAATCCTTACCTACCTTATATTGGTGAAATTTCAATAGTCCTATTTTTTTTTATATTTTAGGAGAGTCTTTTTAATATTTTTTTTAATAAAAAATCTATATTATTTATTAAACATTTTTAAGATTAATGATAATAATTTAAAACCTGGCCGGATACATAAACAAGTGCCAGAAAAATAATATAACATCTAATAAAAATAATCGTACATAATTAACCTATCGTAGATACATGTCTTTATTTTTACTGAAAAGTACATAGGTACCTTGTTTCCTTTATTATTAGTTTCGTTATATACAATAACCAAATTACATTGTGTTTTAAGCATAATTTTACTTCATCAAAGTAATAATGTATTGCTAATTACTACTATCCAGTGGCTTCGCTCGCGTGATCATGTAGCTTTCAATAGATTAATTATATATAACTTTATGAAATTAATTATTAAATTTATCGTGAAAGAGTGTTTTAAATCGGTCCAGTATATTTCAAATTTAGCAATTACGAACGAATCAATAAATATACAAAAATTATAACTCTTTCTTATATATAAAAAGATTCCAGTATCTTATGGCTTTGTGAACAAGTAGAACTGAATGATGTCCTACAACAAATATTGGACTCTATAAAACCTGACATCAATCTAACTATATATTCTGTAGAAGAGTGTCTCACTATGTAACTAAGCACGGGTTTTCTTCATAAAGGAAGGACTTACTTATGAAATGAATAGCTATATTATGCAGATTGCATTAATATTAAAAAATGAAAATTAATATTCAAAGGTACTTATATTTAGTTCTTATCTACTGCAGTTTTTTTTATTGCGATTTATTACGAGATCGACTTTAACAACTCATCCGTAGGCGTATTTGAAATAAAATTCAAAATTACTAATTAATTTTAATTTTAATTAATTAATTTTAATTAATCTAAACAAAAACTTATGCTCGTTCTAGTTAATTTCGTTGCAATTTAAATAGTGTATCATACGTTCATTTTATATTATATTGTATTGTTTCATACACATGTCAATCAAATCAGTTATCAACCACTTAGTTTTGTTCTTTGCTATGATCTCATTTATGATATTTTAAATTAAATAAATACACATACCTTATTTTACTACAGTTCTATTTCATTTTTAGAGTTCGATATTTCTTTTATTGTTATGGACGATAATGGAATGGAGCGCCCGCCTGCCGCAATGGTTTGCGCTAGCATAGGATAAGATGAGCATGAAGCCAGGGGAGTTAGCCCATCGTGGTAAATTCATCATGAATTTATCACGATGGTTTCCAGGGAGAACCACGAATCCACAGTATTAATCCAGCACATGAGTTTTACAATAGAGTCAGAGCTCGTTATACTTATATTTAGAAGAGATATCAAATATGAAGTTTCAAAATTATCTTTAAAATATAATAATATAAAATTATCTTTAAAATATTATCGATAAAATATAATCTTCAACTTTATAAACATGAACATATATGGAAGTAAAACACAAACTCGTATCACAACCTTAAGGTTTGAGTCACTATTTATGTTTAAAAAAGGAGTAACTGACTATCGAAATGTATGTATCCATTGAATCTAGATATTTGAAATTTTGTACAGTGGTTCCTAAAGTAAGATTATTCTCCAATATTACATAAAAAATTCCGAGCTAATTGCAACTTTCCATCTGATATAACAAATAAGTAGTACTGTACTACTGTATTGTTTGAGCTACCGCTAGCTAGATAGGTACTCGTGAAGTGTAAGTACTTCTTAATTTTATAGGAAAGGTTTTTTGGCAAGAGAACTGTAGGCACTTACTCGTTATCTTCCATATACGAGCATTACAATTATGTATCTGAACAAAGCTAAAAAGAGACAATTTACCATCAAAACCACGGGGAGTCGATTTCATTTTTTTAATTTGCTCCTATAAATACAAATCTATGGCGCTCCTATATATATAAATCAATAAATTTAATTGTAGTCGATCCAAATTAAAAGTACCATTGATATTATAAAATATATTGTAACACCTGTATTACTAATCATGTGTTACATTCGTGAGGACTAAAATATTATACCTTTCCAGGCCATGGCAGTGTTATGGCAGTGACATTTCTGGGTACCAAGCCAGAAATGTTCTAAGCATATGTCACCATTTAAAACGAACGTAATCATATACAATCACAGTTGTTTAGTGATAGACTTGTCACCATTTAGTAGACGTCTTTAATTAGACTTTCAGTTGTAATAGTTTTGGAAATTGTTATAAAATTTGTTATTACACGAAACTTTGGAAGCCATAGTGTGAAGAAACTCTTGGCAAACAACGTCGTGACGTGAGATTGAACGCGAATCATGTCGGTATTGCGGTTACTTTTCAATTTCTCAAATAGAATCAGATTTTTTCACAAACAGTACTGTTTCAAGAATGTGCAGGCATGGAAATGTCAGAATATTTAACTTTTTCAGTGAAGTCGTACATGTATCGGTGTTTTTCAAATTGCATATCGACTGGACACAGTGTTTTTGAGTGTTAGACGCTGTATTTCTGTTTGTTGAATTACTTCAAAATATGTTAACGTATGTAAGTACTGATTCACTGTATGTATGTTCTTAGTATTTATTTATTATATATTAGGTATTTGGTTAGCAAATTATTATAATATGGTGTGTAATGGAGTTTATAGTAGAGATCTATGTTCAATATTGAGTAATAAATGACCGAATATATGCCTATAATATGATATCATATTACGGATTCCAAATATAATTTTAATCTTACTATTATTTATGATTACATATACTAAGATACATAAGTGGTTAAGTCCATAAATTTGATTATATATACTAGAATATGTATGCTGTAATAAAACATATTTAAATTTTGAATTGAAAATATATATAAAAGTTAATTCGTAACAGCATAGAATAGCCTATGATAGCTTATTTCATAATACAATTTTATCTTCAAGTCAAATTTCATTAAGAACCGTTTTTATTATTTAGTCGTGAAAAGGCAAACAAACAAACTTCGCATTAATTTTTTTCGATATATTTAATGGGTTTGCCGCTATAACAAAATGTATGTGGTCTCAGAAAATGTTTTTGTTATGTTACTTGTCACTTGTGTCTACGAATAGATATTGAAACGTATGATACAAAACATCTAAGTATCCATACACAACGGAAATTATGCAGTGTATAGGTAGAAATAAGCCAAACATTGCTGCTTATCTGATTATTTTTGTAAGTCAGTTGTTTACATTTTCTCTTCTTCACATCTTGAGTCTAGATGTAGTTAACTAGCGTGTAAAACATAAATTATGACATTTTAATAAACATGCATACCAGCTACATACTTTATAATCGGCTTTCGTCTGGTAAGTTCTACTCAATCTTCTATTTATGGAGAAAGTATAGTTATATTTATAGGTAATTAATTGTAATTACCTATAAATATAACTATACTTGTATTTATTGAAATACATACAAAAATATGACTAAAATATTAAATTTTATTAACATCCATCATTTCCTTATAGAATTCATAGTATATACGTGTAAGACAAATTGAATTAACAATAAAGTACCTACTTATTTAATATTCTTCATTGTGCCTGACTTTTAAATCTATAAAGATTTATTTACAAATTGATACATATAGATACGCATAGATAGGCGAGAGACAATAACGCCAGACCCGAAGGCACATATTATCCGTAAAGTATTAGAATCCAGCTGCCGTAGCTGTATTTGATCCTGAGCGCCCAATTTCGTCAGTGAGAGTAATCCAGCAATATCGTGTTTGAAGGATATCAAATTGAATTCGTCTGGTAGTGTAACTACAAAACTAGTCCGATTTTTCCATATCATATCATATTGTGTAATATGCATTGTATAAGTCTACCATTTTTTAATGTTAGTGATTTTGTATAAACTAGATAAGTATACACCAAGATAATTTAAGAGTTTCCGATATATCAACGCTGGTGATTTTTGAATTTTGTATATACAGGATGTTTAGCATGATAATTTAAAGAGTTCTCGATATATAGACGCTGTTACAAAAGGCTCACGGCTCGTCTGGAGATGGCGGTGGATGTAAACAATTATGACGAGCAGACATATTCGTCTACCCGCTTTCTAAGACTTTTTTACGTACAGTGGTGACGCACTACTACTGGTAAACACTTGATAGTTACGACAACACACACCCACTGTATTACTTTGACTTTTGAAGAATATCTAGCTTTTAAATATAACCTAAGACTAAGTTTCGTTTTTTCTATTGAATTTTTGATATTTGTAAATTGAATTTACACATGCTTCCACAATTCTAAAGACGTAACGGGTTTTTGTAGATAATCGTTTGCCTTATGAAATTCCATCCAATGAACGGGATCCGAGTCTATTAAGTATTTAGCTATGCCAGTTTTGTATTTGTTATTATCCTTTACTGCTTTGATCTATGCAGATCGCTTAGTTTGATCTGTGCAGAAGTTGCTGCGCTGCAGTTGTATTTAAAGTTGTTTAATTTCATTTCAGTTAGTATTAGAGTTTGTAGCTCGCCTGTATCTATAGTCTGTGTTATTTCTGTCGTGAAGCTCATAATATTTGTATTGTTCTGTTTTGGTCTGTAGTAGTAGTACAAAGATAGTCGGAGAAAACTTTGAAATAAAAAGAATAGATAGGTACACGTCTGGAATAACTCAAAAGGGTAAGAGGTGTACTATTTATAACTAGGTATGTTCATATATATTCTGTGTTGTTTATGTTATTCTTCATGACCAAAGATTCAATAGATCATGCTTGTTGCAATTTGATGTACAATGTGTATTTAGCCGTGTTAGCTCTGAAATTTCAATTCAAAGTTCCTTGATGTTTACATATAAATTTTGGATTGAACCATTCTTTCTTAGATTAAACATGTACTTTTCTAAATTTACAGGAGTCTTGAGTCGTTTGTCTGTTCAGATTTATGCCCCAGATGTTCGTTGTCTGATTCCACATTAGTAGGTACGAGATTGACAGGCACGCTAACTTTACTAATTGTACATTTACACAATTCTTCGTGTGATGTCATCCACTAAGACAGTGCGTGGGCTTAATCATTTCTGGTTTACCGTGTAAAAAACAAGTGTATACCTACACACTAATTGCTTTAATATCGTTGTTTCATAAATCCATTAATTTGTAAACTAAAAATGCTCTCTGTTTATAACTGCGTAGCTACGAGTATCTACTATTACAGTTGCGAATCCGCTTAGGTTGGTTTAATACCGCATTTACGTAAACTGGACACTATGTAGATGGATTAGCCACAAGCTCACCTAAATTACTGCGGGACAGGAAATTAAATTTGCATGAACAGATTGCGGGTTAAAGTTAGGAAATAAATAAATTATACAAAAGATGATCATGTTGTTACAAATCAGTATTAGACGGAATAATAAACCACTATGTTTCAATACCGGCTTGATTGAATCAAGCCTACTGATTGACTAATTTCGCTGTCACACAAGAGGCATTCACTTGGGAACGTTACTAAACCAATAATGTGCCAATATTATTATTACAAATATACCGTATTATTGGATTTCAGTGGAGGATCAGTAACTAAACAAACAATATTGTACCTAACATATTACGATTATGTAGGATTTATACTTCTGAAGAACTGTGAATGTAAAACTATCATAGAAGAGATAGAACTATGAGAGTTCATAACTATAGGTGATAGTTATTTACTTATTACTGATCAGATGGTGTATGTGATTCAAATATACTATGATATTGCAAATGTTGGCATAATACTAAAAAAAAAAAATATTTTTTAGGTCTAATAGAAATAACCATGGGGCTCTTTACACTATGGTTTAGAGGAATTGGCACCGTCCTTTTGAGAGTAGAATAAAAATTGAATCAATGTATCAAACTTTCGTAATGCTTAAAAAAAGAAAATATGCACAAGTCCACATTAAAATGATTCGTATTAATTGAGGTGGGCTTTCTTATACAGCTTCTTGAATATGAAAACGAATGCAAACGAATGCTGGTAAATACGCCATGATGAAAAAAATTGTTACACAGATTCATATAAAAATATTTTATTCCTAGTCACGAAAGCCTGGTAATAATATAAAAAAGAAAAGATTTTAAATCTAACGAATCAGAATAACTTACACTTTAACTAAAACAGATGATATTTTGGGATTTTATTTGAATTGTGAAAAAAACATGTAACAATTACAAAGAATTAATTCGACGGCCTCGGTGGTCTAGCGGTATAGGTCACTCACTGATTTAATTCATAAACATTTGTATTCCTAAATGTAATTGTTTATACTTATCTGGGCGTTTTTCGTATATATTATGTCGTATTTACAAAAAAAGTAAAGCAAGCTCTGCTTAGCTTGGGACTAGATGGCACTATGTGAAATTTCCAGGTGTTATATTATATTATTGTACATATATATATTATTATATACGGTATTATTAAAAATATATTCTTGTACTTGATTAAATACAAAATAATTTGGATGTAATGTATACTTACCTAAATAAATAAAAAAGTATCAATTATCTTTTTTTTACAGAAGAACAAGTCGTGTTCTTTTATTACAATAATATCCATAATCAACGCAAGTAATTTTGTGAGAAAAATAAAAAATATTTCATTGACGTCACTGCCCGTCTGTTCGTAAATCGTATGTTGTAAAGATAGGTATGTTAATGGTTCTAACAAACTGAGCAATGAACATCAAAAGCTATTATACATTAAGAATGGTATTTAGATTCTTTGCTATGTAATGTTGTCTTAAACCTAGGAAACCATGTTTATTAATAGAAACCTTATAAAGTATTTATGCAGTGTTTTTTTATGGATTTATATTAATGGTGCATCCACCTCAACTCAACTCACCAAACAACCGAACTCTATCAGGGTAGAGTAGAAAATGTCAGGATGAATTTGAAAGTCAGTTCAGACATCCCATCATGGTTAATACGCTGGAAATTGGGAACTGTGTGGTAGATGACTTGAAGTTTAGAGCCCCAGCAGCAGCGTACGTTGCTGACAGTGTAGCCACGAACCTCAATTGCTATTAACCCCATGTAGTAATTCTATACTAGTATATTCATAAGCAGGGTATATACTTACTAAGTGATATAGTGTCTGAAGTATATCTGACTTGATTAACATTTGAGGCATAGGCTAGAGATACAATATGTATTAATAGTACTTTTTAACTTCCTTGAAGTTTTATTTTTTTAAGTAATGTTATTGGCGACAAATTACGAATCAGAATTTCTGTTTTAAATCCGAATCTGCTAACCTTACTCTAAGTAAGGAAGCATGTAACCAAATATCTCCTGAAGATTTATTGTCAAAAGATATTAAGTTATTTATTCACGTTGTTACCTCCTAGATCAGATGATTTGAAATAGACTAACGTAGATCAATGTATGTATATTGTGCTCTACAAGTCACAAAGCTTCGATAGCAATTGGGGTATGGTGGTAAAGGTCTTTGCGATGTCTGAGTAGATAATTTTGTACAAATATTTGAGCTTTATACCACAAGATAATAATTTATTCACAATATTTTTAGCGACAGACTACAACAAAATAGACCCAATCTAAGATAGGCCTGAATGTATATTATATACCAATACATATATAATAAGTAAAAGCTTATGTTTCGGGATTTCATTCTGGTGTCGCCTCGCTGCTCGTAGTCGTACCTATATTCTGTAAATACAATTTTCATAAATCAGAATTTCTTAAAACTCTAGAATAAACTATTGGAACTGTAAAAGTATATTTCTTACTGTAGGAATAGTATTTACTTACAATCCCTGATAATACCTTTCAGGATCTCAATGCTAAAAAGTAGCAAAACCTTAAATACAGAGATACCTACTCAAAGATCTAAATTAATCTGTGATATCCATATCTACAGGTTAGAGTTACCTTAACATGTGCGCTATAAGCTTGTTTGCCATTTTAACATTTTGGTATATTCTGGTCCTTATATTTGATAGTAGACTTAGAAACAATGAATATAACGATAAAATTTCTTTTTGTACATTGCAGGAAGAGCGGCGCCGTACCGGTCGGTACATAGCTATCTTAGTGGGCATAAGTTTATTCCTATTGGCTATGTACCATGCATGGGTTCGTAGGATACCCATCGTAGCCAGCCTGGTGGTGCCCGCGTTGATTATGTTCGTATATGTCGCCTGGGTACTATACACCGCATCGAGGGATAAACATAAGGTATACCATTGCCTTTTTTTTAATAAAAAAAAATAAAGAAGACAATATAAGGCCTTTAAGCATAAAAGGCGTGACTAATAAATTTCACGATTGATAAGCGTATGCTAAATTTTTAACTATTTTCTATACCACTACTTTGTGAACAGCAGATAATTTTTTTTGAGAGTTTAATTCGCATATTAATGTAATTTGTAAACCCATATTAAATAAATAATTGGTATTCCAAATTTTCCTATCATATATATTATGGAAATCATGTATACAAAATTCAAATGCGATAATATGATATTATGTTAAGAACATTAAACCAATTTCTATAAGGACCATCTAACATTGTGAATAGAGTTTTGCTCCCTGCTGTAATCTCAGATACGTGAAATTTTATATACGATTTGAATTTACGAGGTGACAACCCCGCTTGATGGAAAGTGGTGAGTGTCGCATAGCGCCATAATCTGCACCAAGGTAGATTAAATTGAAATAATCTACATTAACTGAAAGCCACTTAGCTTGTTGTTATGATTCATACAAAACTCTTCATCAGCTACTTCTTCCTTACCTCATTCATGTGAAAAGTCGGCGTAATATCACTCCCTTTGACATAGTCCATCCATCTCTTTTTCGGCCTTCCTTGGCTCTTATAACCTTATCTGAATCATTCAAAACTACCACCTAATAAAAGTAGGTAATCAATTCATTAAACGTTTTCGAGTATATTTTATAAAAACTTAAAAATATATACAGTATCTTGTAGCGCCTGACTTTCTGACGCAGGACTGTCTGCATAGAAAAGATAATAACATCCAAAATAAACATTTATCTTACGCAAATGCTTTGAAATTAAACAGGGGTCCGGAAGGTATTTGAGAGCAGATAAAGTGTCGAACATAGATATTATATGTGTATTGTTAAGAACTGACGTTTGTAAAAATACAGGTGCTTATGAAAATATTTTAAGTGTAAATATTTTAAACAATCGAAGTTTTTATGACGTGGTGGATTAGAACTAAATTTATTATACTTTATTGCATTGTTAATTAAGAATAGGGTAATTTAATCTTACTTATTATATGTAGTACATAGTTCAAAGTAGTGTACGTAGCATTGGTGCACATAAATCATACAAATAACCTCTTTCTACAAAGATACTTTTTTAAGATTTAGAATGAATTGTCAGAGTATTAAGGTAATACTCAAGAACTTGATAGGTATGATACACCAAAAGAAATTCTCGAACTGGATTCAAGTTAAGCTGACTTAAATCTCAAGTTCAATCGATTTTCAGACGACTTAGTTGAATGAAAAGCGAGATTAAAAATACTACGGTGGAGCGATTCAATTGCGGATATTATAAGATATTTAAAGAGTAATATACAACGATAATGACAGCTATAGAAAACTTATAGCCACAGTTTATAATGAATGGGTCCTATAAAACTGCTTGATGAGTAGGTCCCGCCTACTTAGACCATAGTACTTATGGTATTATATTGTGGGGAAGAGCGGCTGATGTAGAATCAATTTTTATATTACAAAAAAGAGCAATTCGTTCAATATATTTACCGTGTCGCGAATCTCTTAGAGAACGCTTTAAAGAAACAGGTATCCTAACTGTTCCCTCTCAATATATATATGAAAATATTATGTACGTACGCAAAAACTTAAATTTATTTCCAAAAAATAGTCACTTACACGCTTTTAATACAAGGAATAAAAATAAATTAAATATGCCTAGTTATTGTCTCAAAAAAGTAAGTACCTCTTTCATGGGACATTGTATACGTTTTTGTAATAAATTGCCAGATAGGGTTTTAAATTTAAGTGAAGGCAAATTTAAGATACATGTAAAAAAAACACTTTGCTCTAAAGCTTATTATAAAATAAACGACTACTTAAATGACTACAATGTGTGGACTTAATTACAACTTTAACTTTTGTTATGAGGTATATAATTTTTCCCATTGACATGGATAATGTAATAACATTAAAGAAACTTATTATAAATTTTGTAATGACATATTGTAAATTAAATAATGTAAATTTAATATTGTAATGGGTGAAAACTGTGATCGGTACAGCCTATGCTGTAAATAATATAATTGACTCGATTGCTCGATGACTTGATTGCTCGCTATAAAGTTCAAACTTGTGGCGGCATGGTGGGCCGGGTCGATGTGCTCCCTCAAATATGGTTGAGTACAATGATGGCTGGCTCATACGTCATACTCGTGAACGGGTGCTGCTTGTGGGGACTAGTCTGTTCAGGTTGTGAACACTGATTAAATTTTTTGTTCTTTGCGATAGCATATGCTGGTGGTCACTCTATTCTCCCAAATTTGAATTTTAATGACTGTATATTATTATAAACATGTTCCACTATTATTTGAAAAAAATACGAGCTGAGTTTCTTGTCAGTTCTTTTCATCTCGATATCATTCCGAACTGACGGTAGATTTGACATATCATAAGAGTCTGTAATAGACCTACATGAATAAAGATATTTTGAATTTGAATTTGAATTTGAGTACCTATACTATGATCAGATTCAAACTACAATCCGTTCTGGTTACTTCTTAAGGCCAGCTCTATAGTAGGTTTTGGTAAGTATTACCACAGATAACCTAATATTACATAGTATTACCACAGATAACATAATATTACATAGTATTACTTTACTTATTATTAAAAAAATCAATTTAATTAAACATCAAAGTCAGTATTTTATAAATATCGAGGCAGTTGAAAATAAATAAAAAGCTTGTAATAATATATTATCTCAACTCCGAAATCTGCTTTAACAACTTGTAAAATTCCATTCATCCGCACCACTGGAAGTGAGTTTAGATAATAAATTTATTAAATAAAAATCAATGTAAAAGTGATTCGCGAAATTGGCTTTGCTTAATCAAAGCGGGATTATTCAAGGCTCAACATCAAAGTTGTACTACGGGCCGGTTAGAAACGTTCGCCAGTAAACAGTGGCTGATTCACCAAGCTACTCATTTATACGTACGTAAACATCTGCGTCCAATGTTAGAGCTGGAATCGATTGATGCTGCTGTGACAGTGTGTTTACGCAATTAATACACACGGGGCCGGGTTTCACTTCAATTTCACTTTTGATTCACAGTTCATTTTAAATATCATATATTTTAAACATCGGACATTTTAAAATAATTATATTATTAATATTAGCTAAAATGATACACGGTTTATGAAAACGTAAAGTATTCAGCATATTAATATTCAGTATTTTGCGTGAAAGAGTAACTAACAAACATCCATCCATAACCACTTTTATATTATATATTATATTATAAACTTCCGCGTTTATAATATCAGTAAAATGAAATAAATAAATAACCAAACATGTTTACCTCCTTTTAAGGAAAATATAATATATTAGGTAACAACAGGCCCAAAAGATGGGTGGTAGAAATTTTTTCATCATACATTTCTGTGTTAACATAATTATAGTAAATGTAAATTATATTATTTACCCAAAAAGTACATAATGTATTGTGTTAGTTTATACGAGACACTGTAGTTATTGTATCCTTTAATCTTCACCCGGATAAAATATATAAGTAAAGAAGTTAATTTTGCACTATTATTTTAAGACACTGTTCTTACTTGTCTTCTCCGTAACCTTTCCACAACTTCTTTCCATACAAAAGATATAAATGTCATTTGTATCTGTGTTTTAAATAAATATTGTTCTGGGGTCATTTCGAATTCGAAATTGAGAACATTTCGAAGGCAATACAAAAGCAGTAACAATCTCGACCTCATACATTATGTTTGGACCTTCCTTACTCAGATCTGACTGTATACTGGCTTCAATGGCGTAATTCCGAAACTTTGTTCGATATATGTTTTGTAACTCACGTCCTTTAATGAATACTTGAAGACGATTCCCTCTGTGTGCGGTCTTACAATAGATCAGTTGGACGGCCTCGGTAGTCTAGTAGTAGTAGTAAATCGCCTTAAATTCCGATCGAAGAGGGTTCAATTCCTCGTACGATACATACATTTGTATTAATACTAATGGTTGTATATATATGTCCAGCAGTGGATTGCAGTGGACTGATGATGATACATGTGTCTATTTATATATGTCAGTTGTCTAGTATACATAACATAAGCTCTGTTTAACTTGAGACTAGATAGCGTTGTATGAATTGGCCTGAGATATGATTATTATTATTATCAGTCGCTTTGAAGAATATGGGCTATCAGAAATCCAAAATTATGTTCTTAACTGAGACCTTCTAAGTCTTTCATGTCTTCGATTAATAGTCATTCTTCGCTTTTTGCAATCTCCAATGTTTGGCCTACTGGGTACTACAGATAATGGTGGAGAATTTTTATCGGTGACAGATTGTGGCCAGTGGCAAATAAAATTTAATAGATTTTATTTAATTTCAATATTTTCCCTATAGATTACTAATTAATACTATAAAGTAACGTATATTTATCGGACATGTTACATGGAATCTATGTACATCTTGGAATTCCTACCAGGTCTATCGTTATATATTACGTTTTCACGTTTAAATTACATGTCGGTGTGAGTGAAAATAACCTGAGTATTTCGTGTTCGAAACTACTCTTACAGTATCATATAAGGTGTATGACGTAATTATTTCCTCGTGGATAAAGTTATGGGTCTTAACTAGCTGGAATTGGTGGCATCAATGGCAATGTTTCAATTGGTCAGACACTTCTTAGATTTAGTTATTTATTTTATTTAAAGAAAATACGGCCCTTCATTACTACCTGCTACTGGGTTACTGCTTTATTCTGGTTTTCCCCTTTCCTACACATTATGTTATTGAAATGTAGTCAAAATGATCAATATTTTTACTCCTTTCTCTTGCTAGAATAATCTTTCATGTGATAAAAAAAAATAAGTACATACATATAGCTTAGTATGTGATATAAAATAAAATATTAAGGTTAGTCGCAATATATCAGATTGGTTAAAACATGTGCAAGAAAATTAAAATCTAAGTTAAATCTTATTTAATTCTTGTTACTTCTGATTATATTTACACGATAGAAATATCATTAACTCGTTTGAGTTTTTCTGAGAAGTAGAAGAGTATACTCAAAATTAGTTTGGTTTATAATATGACTTTCAAATGAAACCAATATCCGGCAGGTGCAATGATGGTGCGAACAGATCGCTGTACGTACGCGTGACGCGGGTGCTTTTCCCATTGTTTACTTTTTCTGTCGAAATGTTTATAAAACATACATTATTAAAGGCCTATTTACTGCCGCTAACCAGTTATAATTATGCCATATTTAAACAAAGATATATTATATAAATGGAATTTATATAATGTTACACCATTATACAGGTTTTACAAATTTTAACGAGGAGATCAAAAAGCTCCAAAAAGACACGCAGGATTCTGTATCTGACCAGTTATACTAAATATTAGCCCAAACCCTAAGGTAATATATGCATGGATGACAATATATTACGCCAACCCTAAATGATTATACAATATGAATAGATTTTGATAATGTAAATTTTTATAGTGAACACATTGCAATAGTAACAAATCGTGTCGTTCCTATTTGACTACTAATATTCAGGATATTATTGAAGAAAATACATGTGTTTAAGACTCAGAAGACAATCCCAAATTAACATTTATATGAACACGGTCAATTATCTGCACAGTCATATTGCTTATTGCTTAACTAAGTAAAACTATGTAATATTATGTCATCTGTGGTAAAACTAAGATAACTTTATTACCTTATATTTATTCATTTATTTATCCGAAAATTTATAAATTGTGTTGGATAATATAATAGTAACTTATACAGTAAATTTTGTTATGACAGCAAGCATAATGCAATAGGTCAACTGAAGTCTTTATGGTCATCATTATATTATTACAATATATATGTATGTACAGTGTAGTAACACATCTATACATATAAATAAAATTGGAGTGTCTGTTTGTAATATTGAAATAACCGTTTCATACTACATGCATATAAATATAAATACGGTACATACACCAAAATAACATTTTATACCATTTATGTCTGTCTGTCTGTTTGTTCCGGCTAATTTCTGAAATGGCTGGACCGATTTTGACATGACTTTTTTTAGCAGGTAGCTGATGTAATAAGGAGTAACTAAGCTATTTTTATTTTAGAAAAAATATTTTATTTAAGTAAAATAAAGCTAAGTTCCACGCAGACAAAGTCGCGGGTACAGCTAATATTAAAAAAAATTATTCTAAATCTTTTTTAATCCAATGGTATTATGAAATAATTTTACAGCTTGATATCTCGTATATTAGTAAATTAGTAAAAAATATACACTGATATTGATTATATTATAGATTAAATACTAAACATTGGCAATTAACGACTCAATGGTCCAAAATATTTTGGATTCAATCGAGATAGCAGAAGGTAGAGGAAATATAGTATCGGACTATTATTGTTAAAGTGCCAATGTTATTGTGTAATATTTTGTCGCAGTTTTCCTTGTTGTCAAAGCTATCTTAAAGGTCTGCTCTCCCCTGAGACGTGAAATCCCTTGAGAAGTTGTGCAACTCCTTTTGCGCTTCAATATCCAATACAAAGAAAGTCGATTTATTCTCATTTAATCAACGTCAATTCAATTGTTTTAATATCTCTGATCTATGATTGTTATACCCAATCTGTTATTGTGAATATTATAATTTGTCCGACCTCAATATTAAGAATGTTTGTTTAATTTTTTTGCTGTTCGACGAAAATTATACAATATATAAAGTAAAACTACCCACTATACCTACGTAGTTGAAATATAGTACAATCAACATTGAGTATTAATTGTTTCCTAAAAATATAGTAAAAAGTTTTCCACGCTGTTTCACGTATCGCGGCGTAGGTACATCTCTTACCTACTACGCACTATATTTTGTACAGAAAAACGTTGCAAAATATTTTTGCTATCGCGTGTAGGGCGGGCGACAATAGTTTCGACGTACGGGTATTATATTTTTGGTTAGTTGTTAAAACTTATAAATATGTCTAATAGTTTTTGATAGTATTGAAAAGTTGAATTTGCAAAGCTACTTGTATGAACTATTTAGATAAGGAACGAAACCTCCGCTGAATAAATGAATAATCAAGTATTTTTATATATTGTAGCTACCCGGCTTCACATGGGTGTACATATATTATACATATTAATCTTCCTCTTAAATTACTATCTGTTGCTAAAAACTGTCTTAAAATCCTTTGCGTAGTTTACCTGAGGTCTAAGCGAACAGACAGGGAAGCGGCTTCACTTTTGTACTATGCAACGATGTCAATCGAACCGCTTTTATATACCTATATCTAGCTTATGTTTAAAATCTTTTTTTTATATAAATATTTATATACAAAAAAGGTTTCAATTCTAATATGTGAACAGTCTTTGATTTTTAATACATAATAAAGTAAAATATAAAAAAGAACTGGCAAGGACACACATTTAGTGAATATTTATTTTCGCATGGTATACAAAGCTGTACTGGATTTAAAATATGTTCGACAAAATGTTCGAAAAAATAACGATTTCGTCTTACCACACTGAACGAAGCGAATCCTTCATCAGGGATTACATCCGCGTATATATTCTATTTCTTTGCTTCTTGTATCGAAAACGTTTTTTTAATCAATAAATATATGTACTCCTCTCAGCACGAAATCCTTATATATCTGTTATCAACTTGAATTGATCAGTCGGTAAGCAATCCATCGGTATCTGGCGGTGGTCCAGATGGCCAGTGAACAAGGACTAATTGGTTTCACGGTTGCCACAAGCCGTGCCACCGGTCAAGGCTGTTCCTATCATTAAAACTTTGAAATTGTTGGATATGGTACCTTTTAGGTATGATAGGATATTTTTAATTGGTGGCTAAGGTTTAAAAAAAAATTAACTTGTTACCTAAAATACTACTTTTATATTGTTACTAGTTATATTCCTGGTGATTTGGATACGGTAGGCTAACTAATTTCATTCTCCACGGTGATTCACCATCGTATGGTGTTAGCGTAGTCGGAGGCACTTTTCTACCCAAAATAATTTTTTTTTGGTACCAATATTGATAAGGTATAATTAGTTTTTTCAATTAGTATTTATTCAGAAAGTTTTACATATGATTTTCTCTCCTAACAATAGATAACTTTCCAATCACCATCACTCTGATTAGTTTTAGTTAGTTTAGTTTAGTTTGTTATCGGTGTTTCCTTCACTGGAGAGTAAGTCAGACTTAATTTGGGTTTGACTTACTCTGCCTTTTAAACAGAAACAAAGTTCTTTTAGTGGGGGCAAGATTAGATCTAACGGACGTAAATCGGGGTAGTAAACCACTAAGCCACGCTGCTCGAATAAAAATTCGTTGGGATTATTCTGTAGCGACTGTAGCATTGTTTCATAGATCTTCGAACGACACTAATCGCAGCTCCAACAGTCGGGAATTTGTTCCGTACAAGTTTTACGACTCGCTTGAGCTTTCGTACAGTCACGTGTGTCAACGGGTACCTACTATTATTACTCTCGAACTGAGGTGTTCCACAATGATTGGATACGGATTTTATAGGAAATTCTTTTAACAATTTTCTTTTACCACCATGTAGAGATTTTCTAGAGGCACATTTGAAGACAGATTTTGTAACGTTATATATACAGAGAATTAGATAAAAATATATATATTTTTCTTACATAGTTTTACATTAATTATTTATTACATAGGAACTTGATTTCTATAAACACTAGTATTTATGTTACAATTAACATATAAATCAGCCAGACCGAAAGAAACAATCATACTCATGAATACAAAGGTTGTAATCGTGCTAGGAATCGAACCCGCGACCAATGGATCTAAAACGGAATGCTAAACCTTTAGACGAGGCACTCATATAAGTTTTTACCTGTAACATATTTCCTATGTGGTCCACAGGCTTTTTTCATATTTATTACGCATTTGCGCTAGAATGTATTCAGATTTAATCGCGTAGCGAAAAATCTTTTGTACACTAGATCAAAAGATTCGCTTATTGTTTCGTGTAAAACATGCTTTGTTTTTTTTTCATTCAGAAGATTGACAATTTGGAACATAATAATAAAAACGGGTTTCCAGTCATTATTAACAACCATTATGCCTAATTTACTGTTATTCTTTTTCAGTTGCTGGTGTTAGATGCTGAGGCGGCATTAGGCATACCCTCGCCAGAAGGTACAGAAACCGATATCCAAATATCCGAGTTGAATATCAGTAATGAAACATCTCCTGCATCCACTAAAGATATCGCGAAACTGAATGCTTTGGATATTTCAGTTCCAAAAGATTGGACTGAACAGTCTGTTCCTGTTTACAAAGAAGATAACATCATCAGAAAAGAAGAACCGCGATTTAAAATGCCCTTAATATTAGTTAACGGTCAACCGCCAGAGGACTTAGATCAGAAATGGGTCAAAGTGGTAGAAAATGTGACAAATACTGATAAATTCAGAGGTCTTCCTCCTAAAAGAAGGCATAAGCGCAAATTTTGTAGGAAAAAGCATCATGTATTTAAAAGATCTTATTCTATTGCATGAATGCATTCAGTATTTTCTTTTGCATATTAAAGACATAATTGTATAAGACATTGCCTTATAGGATTAATGTTTATACACAACTTCGTCTGCTTGGATAAAAACATGTGTCTTCTAATTCCGAGTAGTATGTGTACATATGCATTTGGCTGAGCGGTTGGTACTAAAATAAAATAATAGACAAGCATATACATACGCACGCTACCTTTTATGTATTTATGATGAATTTAATATTGTACTACTATTGTTTATTTCAAAAGAAAAGAATTTCAATCATGTACCTATATGACTTGTAATCAATCATTTTGTTTGGTTTGTTCACTTCACTTAGAATTTCATGACATGGCGAAGTTGTTTATATTTAGATATAAGTAGGAAAACTGTTGAAAATGTTTAGTGTATTTACGCCTAAACCTTTTTAAATATACATATTCTTTATTACAAGTTTTTTAGAATATTATAATATGTAAAAACAGTTATAGTAAGTTTAATTAAAATAAGGTTACCTATATTATAAGTACTTTGAGGGTGTTTATTGTAACATATTGTATACATTTTTTGTAATGCTTACTGAATGACTGAATTAATTATTATTTAGTTTACTTTACCTTCTAGCAGAACTCTAATCTGTATTTTAATGTTTTAAACATGTTCAGCCAAGATTCATAAATCGGTTGGTTCGGTCGGTAATAGAAATCTTCCTTCAATTTTGCTATGCCCGAATGATTAAGACTAGACCTACTTAGTAGTAGGTAAGAACAAATGATTTAATAAAACGCCAATTAACATGACAATACATAAATAAAGTAGGTAATTCGTAATAGCAATTGGAAATGTAAGTACTCAGCCTGCGGCTGAATGATATGTATTCGGGTCCTGTTTGAAGGTAAAATTTCTCTTTCAATATTTTCTCGTTTTCTATTATTGTTCTAATTATGTTATAATTTACAAATACAGTTAATACAAGAATATTCTGTATATTATATACCAAGTAAATATATTTTTTCTATGGAACAGGCACTTTAATTTGTTTTTCATTTTAAAATATAACAATCGTCCTTTATTTCTATAAAGTATTAAATTGCTCTTGCTTATAGATCGTAAAAACTGAGGTTAGTAATTGAAATCTTACTAAGATTGCAAAGTAGCTAAAACAGGGTCATATCTTTGGAATTGATACAACATAGCATAGCATATAGCTATGCTATGTTGCTATGTTGTATATATAACTGCCTTAGCATACAACAAACATACTATGCCTATACATAACATTTCTCATTCTTATTGAGGTTTCATTGTCTGGAAAAATCTTACTCTACATATAAGAAAGAAAAAAGCAAAGCAAAGCAGAAAAAAGCAAAATTTTTTGCTTTTTTCTTTCTTATATGTAGAGTAAGATTTTTGATCCTTCTTTAGTATACCACCAGCGCGAGTCATGATTTTATTTATCACGCGTAAAAAATATAAATTAATTAAGTACGAGTCGATATATAGCAGTTTTTGATGAACCGACTTTGTTAAAGACTTAAATGAAGCAGTCTTGAAGCTCATTATTTAAATCTGAACTCTAATACTACAGGGAAATAATATGTGTATATTTTGTAAATTTATTATATGTTTGAGTACTTTAGAGTATGTATACATGTATACTTTAGAGTTACTCATAAGGGGAGCCTTTACTGTAGCTACACCGAGCATGTACCTATATTAATTAAAATGATTGTTACCATAAATTGTAGAAACGTACATTGTTATTAAATGGAACTGTGAATAACATTTAAATAAATTTAAATTCATTAATAGAGTACAATTTCTATTAGAGTACATAAAATGTTGTATTAACTATATATATATATTCGATGTAGATAATCTATTTTCAAAATATAATACTAGAAAATACTTTTGAATAGCTTGCAATTTTAAAGTGCTCTAGATTAAAACTACGAAAGGTACACGTATAAAGTCCTACTTGAACAAAGAAGGATGAAATGCTTATAAGATTAGCTGAGAAATTAAATTGAGAGGAAGTTAGCGATTTACGTAGAAATAGGTTCCAGAAACCGCGATACTGGAGATTTTTTTGCATTACTTGAAAGAACTTTACAAACAAGACGAAAGCCCTACTAATGGAAAAACGTCACAGTCACGTATCGACTTCGATAATACAATGAACTGTTGTTTAAATTTACCTAATTTTAAATCAGTTATTTGAAACACTTTCACATGAATTAAATGAATTTATTTTTGATAATAATTTATCACATTCTATCAAATTATATCAGAACAGTAAATAATCATCACGAATCTATTTATCATCTTTGTTTTGAGTACTTACTGATAGTAGCTAGTAGTCGAAAAACTAAATTTAGTAGAACATAATACCGTAGTCTACCAAAGTCCTCTTAGTGATATATACCATAATGACTATGAAGTAGCCTGTATTCTTCTTTCTTTTCTGATAGCCTTATCGGTTTATTTTAGAGAATTATTTGATAAAGATATTCTACACCACCATATTATTGTATATTATTCTTTCATGGCATCATCATCGTCATGAATAGTCAAAAATGAATAGATTTTAATGGTTTTTCACACAAGACTCATGCTACGCTACAAGTGCAGTGTGTAGTTTGAATTGTCTTATTTATATTGGTTTTTTGTCAGAACACAAGCCCATTAGCATCGGAAACGAATTATGTAAATTTTTGTAAGCCACGAAGCCGAAATAAAATAAAGAATGCCAGGGTGGAGGGATCGAGCGCAATTCCGCCAATCAGTAGTCAAAGCGAGACGTGGAATGCCAAATCTGAAGCTACTTGGGTTTGTTTGTAAATGCCATTGATACGCTGGTACTTTATGAACAGCCATTTATGTAACTGGAATGGTAAACAAGCCGACCACCCGATTGATTGGGTAATGTACATATGAACAGCACCATAGACATTATATTATCATGTGATGGTACGTTTTCATAACCTATAATTTTACTCTCTTAAACCAAACTCGTGTTACAAATCATGCTGCTTGGCAGCTGTAATAGGTGTCCACGCAGAAGAGTTTGTACCCAGTCTAACTTTAAACTTAAAATCTTAGAAGTAGGAAAGGTTGTTAATAATAATAATAATACCTCTGGACAATTCATGCAGCGCCATCTAGTCCCAAGGTAAGCAGAGCTTGTGTTATGGGTACTAGACAACTATAAATACATAGATACATTTTCTTTTGTAAATGCATACATAACATATAAATATGTTTAGCGCGATACCATCATTAATTAAAATCATCAAAACTGAAACGGTTTTGATGATTTTTATTTTATAGGCTTCACTATGGAAGTGCCATATCAATTTTGTTAACATTGAAGTTGGGTTTTTTTATTCAATAATAGACATTGTAAAACAATATTTGATAATATTCTAAAACCCTAAAAACCTTAAACCCTTTCTCTCTGTATCTGCACATTTTAAGAACGTGCCGCTGTATACTAAAGAGCCAAATATAAAATTATGCAGAAATTCCGAGCCAATAAATTTTGAAAACAAAATCTTGTTATGACAGGTATGCAAGTAAGAGAAAAATATTTATCTTTGAGTGAAAACAACAGTCTGCCGGAGACGAGACTTCAAGGTTGCTTTCAGCGATTGCGGTGCAGCTCAACGCATTGCGTTAGTCTGCGTGATCCAAAAGGGTGTTCATATAAAATGCATTTAAGACTAGCTATGTCCGTAGTTTCACACCCTTGAAATTAATAGTCTATGTGTTAGTATGATGTATATGCTTTATTACAGTAAGTTTCATCAAAATTTTTATGTTAAAGAGTAACAAACTTTTATCCATCGATACTCACAAACTTTCGCCTTTGTAATATTATTAAGATAAATAAAAAGAAGCACACCAACGCGCCAGAATGCTTGCATCGAGATATGACCTTTAGTTACTTGGCATTAATTACCTACAACTTTTTTCTGAGTAGGTGGTTACTTTACTCGTAGGTTGGTGCTTCATATTGTTGTATGTATAGCGAATGTGTTTTTTTATTACTGGAATGTTATCTATTAATGCTTTTCCTTATAGCATGATCCAATCGCAATAAACTTGAGTGTTTATCCTATAATTAAAAGTAAAACTTAGTTCTATATGAAAAAAAAGCGAAAAATTCTTTGGAGTTTTTACTTTTACTACTACATTTTTACTGAAATGACTTTTTAGGTGAATCTTGTTTTATACAAATTATTTTCAATTACGAAAGGAGTATACAATTTTATACATATAATTAGTGTAATAGTATGAAACTCTTTGTTAAAAGTCTTTAATTTATCGCTGATCTCACAACTACAGATTAAATCTCTCAGACCCGCCTGCCCTAGGAGAGGCGAACTGTGAGTCAAATTTTCACTAAAAATCTTTGTAAAAAGTCGTCTGATGGAATACCTTTATCTCATTTGTTTTTGCCATTATGTTGCTTACTTTATAACCTGTTTTTTAGTAGGTGAAAATACGGAAGTGAAAGTGGGACACTGGGTGCCGGGGGCATGATATGTTAGTTTTTAGAAGTGGTAAAACGCAGGGTTTCTCAGGCATGATTTGATGACGTAATGTCACTGGTGTAATACATAATATAGGTACGGTAAGGCAACCATCAACCAACCAACAGATGGGCCATAAGCTTGTTTGCGATCGTCGTAGTATAAAAAAATATATGCGACATTTGCCTCTTTTCATTAAGAGTCTGTCAGCTTGTTTGCTATTCCAGTAAAAAAACAATATTTCTTTTCAGTTTCAATAGTCCCTTTGCAAATTTCCGAATAAAGCCTTTTACAAGGCATATTGTGAGCGCCGTCAGAACGGGGAGGTCGGAAAGGAGCGGGGGACGCTGACTGTTAATTAAAAAGCTCTGGCTGTATGAAACAAGCAAGGCGAATAATTCTCGCTTTTCCACACCTAAACGCTGCGGTTGTTAATAATGAAAACATTTGAAATTGTTCAGCTTCCATTTAAATGCTCTTACACAGTGTTAAATTGTGTTACATCTTCTATACTGAATTTTAACTCACAATATATTAAAAATATTATTAAACTCTACAACTGTAAAAGAATTTCAAAGTTCGCTTTATGCTTGATTAAAATATATCTGGAATAGACATCATTACTTATGTTTGGTGTGTTTATGTCATTTCCGATCTGTGTACAAAGTTTCAAAAAACCAACAGGCAGGATTTCATAAAAACAAACATCTAGAAACAAGCTAACTAAATTAGTTTTAAAACTGTAGGTAATTGCTTCTAGTTTCTAGAACTCACTGTAACGAGAGACTGAAATGAAAATATGAAAAATAATTAATTCTTTTTAATAGCTCGGATTTACTGCAAGTCTAAAATTAGAATCGGAGATAAAATGAAACAATATTCATGTAAAATATGTACCTTCTTCATATATATACATTTATTTTTTTACTTAAAAACATGACATTATTTCAGTATCCTGTGCACGTGCCGTCGATTAGTTCCTTTCTTTAAGACACAAGTGCTTCCACGAAGACATTTAATTAATACTTATGTCGCTTTAGCAAATCTTGAGTTAACATGCAAATTACCTAAGTGAAGCCGTGCAAGGTGTTGTATATTAGTTTAAGATTGAATATTCAACGAATACGTGAATTTGCTTAAACCTATACATTTAGAGTTAGTACCGAAGGTATATCAAAATCTAATGACCTCAAATACCGTTAACAAATACAGACTGATACATGTTAGGTAAATCTTGTGATATTGTCAGAAAGTTTAATACAAGAATCTGAAGATATTAATATGTAATTTGAATAACAATCAGGCTGATAAACCACCAGATGGAAAATGACAATGTATATATATATATATATAGCATATGAGGCATGATAGCCTACACGATGAGAATTATACGATCTTGGTACTTTCCATGAACACTTAGGTAGCATACCTTTGAACTCAGTAAGTTCTCTGCCATATCT